GGGGTTGTTGAATGCTCCAGAGCTGACTCAAAAAAGAGGAAAAAAGTTTGAATCAATCAGAGTTGTGTGTGGGTGCACTCCAGAGCTCTGTTTGGCTGCGCGTTGCGTTTTGCAGACGAGTAAGTAATGTGTGGTAATTAGCTCTTGTGTGCAGATCCACTCGGCGACTCTTCAATTTGTGTGTCTGTTTGTGTGCAAATTAGGGCCTACTGGGGCTGATTGTTGCGATGTAATTAGTCCTGCTCTAATGAATACACTGATCTGTCTGACAACATCCCTCAGCAGGAGAGAGGAGAGAGTAAAAGCGAAGAGATAAACACCAGGGTGTGTCTGCAGCTTGACCGCAAGCTGCTGCAGAACCTGACCTTTTCATTTGTTATAAGTCTGGTTTAAGGAAGGCAGATGAACAAAACACATGTCTGCAGCTAATCACATGAAAGCCTTGGATTTCATGGAGTCTTTTTCAATTCAACGACTTGAATCAGCGCACAAAATTTGGTCCAGGAATGGCCTTGAGGAGTCTTTATTGAGAAGAAAGTATTTATTGTGAGTTGTATGACAGCTGTACATTTTGATTGGCTAAAATAATAATGAAGTCTAAATGCATTCATGTTGATTTTCCCGCCAAAAAGGTTGGAGTTTGACTCTTTGTTTTATCAAATCTTAAGACATTTAGACTCTTTCTTTACTGTGAATCATGACCTCAACTTCTTAAAGCAAAAACACAAAGACCCAAACACCATTTTTTTCTTTTTTTGCTAAACGGTTAGCAAAAAGTAAGTTAGCTGAAAAGGAAAGTAAGCTATCTAGTCTGCAGAGTCTCTCTGCACCTTTAAGAAAAAGCTAAAGACCCAGCTCTCATGAATACCTACTAACTTAATACTGATGGTCTCCATATTATTGATGATGATGATGGTAATGACGATGGTTTCTGTTTGATAACGACGACTTATAAGATGGTTTCTATACTGATTAGAGCTCTCAAGAACTGCCCTCAATGTTGTGCTTTGCCTCTGGTCACTTCCTGTCAGCACCTGTGTGTCCAATCAGACTCAAAGCTGATCGTTTGCTCTTACTGACATTGTTCCCTTTTTTCTAGATCCTTGCTTGTGTTGTACTTACTCTCTGATGTATGTCATTTTGGATAAAAGCATCTGCTAAGTGAATTGTAGAATTGCAGAATTGTAGTCAGTTGTGTGTATATACCCTGAGGTAAATGCCACTGGCCCTCGTGGTGATGCAGCGTCTAAAGTGCAGCCTCCAACCTATACAAGTTTGACACCCAGATTGCAACATCCTGACTTTAAATTCCAGCACATCCCTTCCCCCGTATCCGCAGTTGCTATGTCATTGTCGGCTTTTGTCAAACAAAAAAAACTCTCCGATTAGCGGCATGACTGACGGCTCATGTTGACGTCGCTGTGGACATCACGGATAAGTCTGATTGGCAGGACAGGTTGTTACATCTCGCCGTTATCTCTGATGCGTCAGGTGGTTTAGTCAAAAGAGACCTTTACTCCTTCTTGTTTTCTCCTTTCTCCTCTCTCTTCAAGGCTTTGCCACTTCTTTGTTTTCTTCTCTTTTATGTTTGTTACATTCCTTGCATTATTTTTACCTTTTACTTTCCCGTTCTCTGTCTCGCTGCTCGCCGCTGTCACAGCTCTTTTTCTTTTTTTCTGCCTAATGATGCATACCATTGGACAATCTATCATGGTTTCCTCCATCAGTCCTCCCCTTCTTCTTCTTCTTCCTCTCTTTTTTTTTTGCTCCCTTTTTCTCTAACAGTGTGACAACATGAGATCTGCCTCTCCCTCGGGGTATGAAAACACATTTACTCTAAAGAAACGTGCAGAAGCTGTGTGTGCCATTACTGGGAGTGATATCTCACGGAAGCACACACACACAGATAGAGCTGAGAAATGAGATCGCTGTGGAGCGCTTGAATTAGATTTATCACTGGGTCGGAGAGGCTTCTGCCGGGTAATACTCCCCGTGTTACAGACGGCCAAGGACATTTCTTCAAAGAGCGGACAGAGTACGACAGAAACACAAGTGAGGAACGCAGGAAGATGGATGAGTTACACTGAGACAGAGAGAGAAATAGACCTGGAGAGAGACGTGTTAACAGAAATAATGCGGCTAAAAGAGAAGTAGATAGAAACTAGGGATGTCCCTCGTAGGGCTCGACCGATATGGGACTTTTGGCGCCGATACCGATATCAGTATTGGGGAGAAGGAAAAAAATCAGATCCCGATATAGTGGCGATTTCTACCTTCGATATGTGGAGATGAATAAAGATATTCACATTTATTGCGTTATCAAACACTTGTGGAAAAGATATATAATGAAGATGGTCACTCAACTGGAAAGTAACTAAGCATGTAAACTCGTCATCCCGGTCAAATTATAAAAAACTACATATTAACTCTTTATTGGCTGCGCTTTTACAGCCTACAGCAGTAAAAAAACACTCTGCATTGCTGAAATATATTGCTGAAACAGAATATGCAACATGTGTCATACCACAGTTAAAGTGGTTTAAAGCAGAGATCATCTTTTCATTCATGTTACCTTTTACTTACCTGCCAGTAACATCCCTGATGAAGAGCCTCCAATGTTTACAATACAGAGCAATGTGGCTGATTAAACTACTGCTGTCTTCAGTGTAAATCAATTATTCTAATTGAAATGTAAATATGACCCAGGATTTTATTTGCTTGGTTTATGTCATCATGCTTGATACGAGTTCACACACCGCCGAGTCACACTTCACCTTTGCCCACACTTTGAAGTAGCAGACAGGTTGTGCAAGCTGTTTAGTCACAGGTGACGTCGAGCACATCGGGGAACTAGGTAATACGTTTATGACCAGGTTTACCGCCTTTGTTGATTACAGTGTGTTGGTATTTGTCCTTGAGTCGCTTTATGACGGAGCATCATCTTTAGTCATTTGCTGTGTTATCTAATAAGATTTTACAAAGGTCTCTACTCCAAGTCCAATCAGATCTGGATGTTCAATTCAAAGCTTTCACTATCTGTTTTTTTGTTTTTGTTAAGAGTCACACCACACTAATGTCAGCCGACGTTAGTCTCCTGTTTTACCTGTAACACCTGTAGCAGACAACTTTCTTTGTGGTTCAAGTTTGTCCACTGCTGCTTTCAAGTGTATAGTGACATTTAACTGAATGAAGGATTTAAGTGGCAGCTCGGCTCAGCCCCTCCAGTCCCACATGTTTTGCAGAGATGCCTTTTAAGTTGACCCTGCTTTAGTCCTTCTTTTGTTGGAGTCGACTGCTGAAGAGAGAGAGGACATATTGAGAGGAGAGAGAGGAGGGGATGACATGAGCTCTGTGGTTAATTTGACTACCTACATCCTGTGATGATTAGGAAATCACTCAGCGGACTTTAGACAAACAAGCTAGCAGCAGCTCAGCTCCCAGCCCCACCTGACTTCCAGTTGTTAAGGGAATGGAGTTTATCTTTTTTTTTTTTTTTTTTTTGCAACTTTGTGTTTATTGGGCAATCCAAACGTTGTTCATTTATCCAGACGTAGTTCATTTTTCCGAACATAGTTCATTTCTTACATCATTATTCTTTTTTTTTAGACTGTTATACAAAACAATAGTAGAATGCAGAAGAAGAAGTTTACTTTATAATAAAACCAAGTACATTGGCTTAGCTATGCTAATGATAAAGCTAGATTGTTATAATTTCTTACTTTGGGGGAGATGGGCCAAATTATGCCATCGGTACTTTAAATACAATCTTAAATGTGTTACCTTCTTAAATCTGTTTATGTTAGGATTAATTTAAAACTAACTAGTACTTCTTTATGGTTTTATCTGAACTGCAGCACTTTTACATGTTTTACTTACTGAGTCTGATTGTTTTGGAGAGGATGACATAAAAAAAAACCCTCATGAAGGGACTCGGTTTGTAAAGTTAACGTTCTGACATGCTCCTGTTCCTCCAATGCTCGATGTACAATGACACAGCAAAAACTTTTCTTTAAATAAAAGTGCAGAATTGAAGGGTGCAGCACTTTATTTCCACTTTATATCAGAAGCCTCCATTATCTCCACGGGGAAGTGACAGGCCTGTCTATGGATTAACGTCTAATATAAGATGCCGTGAGGACTTGTGCAGGAATGTCGCCGGTTACGTGATAAACGTGCAGGTATGAAGCGAGCCATCAGCGAGCGTGACCAGACTTTTAAGATTGCATCAGCACGTGTGTTTAGTGTGTTTGTGTGTGTGTGCCCTGTATCCTCCCATTTGGAGAAGTGAGGATCTCCATGGCGACCCCTGATGTCCTATCTCAAATTGATTACCCATGGTGCATTCTGTCCCTCTCAGGGCATGTTCTCATAAATAGAAAAAAAAAAACAACGATTGCATGATAAGGAGACACACGGGCGATGATGAAACGAGACAAAAAAGGCGCCACAATAGAATCAGCGGGGAGTTTCTTCCTCTGCAGAGCCATTCAAATTCAATCATGCATTCATGCCACGTTTTAATAATAATTTTCATGCAGACACGGTTGGCTGCACCTCCTACCTGCTCATATAATCGCAGCAGTACAGGACATTACCTCCGGTGCTTTTTTCTGCATTAACTTTCCTATCGACGCCGCATACTGATGCTCTGGCAGACGTTAGCTTCCTCCTTTTTTGTATTCAACAGATAAAGTGAGGGGGGCTATTTTTGGATACATGCGGGGAGATGTTTCTAAAGGCCACCTTGACTTTCCCACATTTGATTGTAAATCAGCAACGTAAATTACAGACTTTACTGGAAGGTGCAAAAAAAAACAAAAAAAAAACAGCACAGCCTTCGAGTAAAAATCAACTCTCGACTCATTGAAGCAGCTTTCTTTCTGTGACGCTGAGGTTTGTCACACCATAAAAATAAAAAGCTGTCACTGTGTTTTTTTCAGATTTTCTCAGTGCACTAATGTCTGCTCCCCCCTCTTGTTATCCTCCCTGTCTCTCTACAGAAAAGTGTGAAGGAGGGAATCCTGTTGAAGCAGACCAGTTCTTTCCAGAGATGGAAGAGGAGATACTTCAAACTCAGAGGGAGGACCCTGTACTATGCCAAAGACTGCAAGGTGCAAGAATGTGTTAAAAAAGTTCAAAATGATCTCGTTGTTTTGGGAATTTGATTTTTTATTTTTATTTGTACTGCTATTAAATTAAATTCAGGGAGCTTTTAAACAAAACTTTAGCTGTAAACCCAACAAGACCATGACCATAAATATCACTGAATAATCATCATCCGTTAAGAAGCGGGGGAGGGGCAAACCAAACTACAAATGAATTGAAGTGATTTATTCTTTTAGAAAGGGGCATTTTTCCCTCTAATCACAGTGATGACTTGATAGATTTGCATGACTTTAAATATAAAGACAGAAAGTGGGGCTATGGCCACATCGACAAGGTAACTGATGTTTGTGATGTTTCTCCTTCCTCCTCTCTCAGTCTCTGATTTTTGATGAAGTGGATTTATCGGACGCCAGTGTGGCGGAGACCAGCACCAAGAACATCAACAACAGCTTCACGGTGAGACGGCAACACTTATCTCAAAATGTTTAAAAAATGTGGGGACAGTTTTTGGTGTTGCCGACAATGGCGGCCACCATATTGGAAATGCTAACTCAACCTAGAAACAGACATTGAGGTGGAGTTTGGGCGAATTCTTAAGCGTCCTGGAAAACGGATCAAATGCACCGACCTGACAGTTAGCCTGCCACTTATCATGCTATTTTATGAATAACTCTTTGACTCAATATTATCCAATAGGAAGTGTTTAAAAAAGCAACCACCCGGTACAGTGTGAAGTAGTAAAGTAATGTTGATTTTCTTTTTTAAACCAGGCTTTCAATTTGTTAATTTTTTGCTGTAAAAATGGCCATTTGAATATGGGCTCTAATGGCAAAGTCTTGGTTTTTGGAGCCAGCCTCAAGTGGACACTCTAGGAACTGCATTTTTTTTGCACCTTCTATAAAGCAGATTGGTTTGTAGAAGAGAGATTCTCCCAGGTTTGAAGACGAATGCTTGGATTTTCACACCTTGACATTTTTGCCATTTGTTCTCCGTCCCTCAGGTGATCACTCCTTTTCGCAAACTAATGCTATGTGCTGAGAGCAGGAAGGAAATGGAGGACTGGATCGGCGCCCTCAAATCCGTCCAAAAATGGGAAACCTACGAGGTTGGTCTCTTCATTTCCTGTCATTATTTGTTCTTCTGGCTGACATCAGGAGATCAGAAAATGAGCCTTTGAAGCTCGTCATGGACGTGTAATCTATTTTAATGAGAACAGGCTTTGCACCTCAATCCTTAATTCTTCTTCCATCTGTTCTTTTCTCAACGTATCCCGTCTTCTTGAGGAAATCCTCTCTTTCTCCCTCCTTCATCCCTCTCCGCTCTTGCTTCTCTCTTATCTGCTTTTTCATTTGAGCTCTTTGCCAGCAGATTGATGCCCCTAATAAAGGCAGACCCTCTGCTTTAATAAGCTATAAAGAGAGCTGAAGACTATGAGCTGCTTTCCCAGCTAAAATTGAATTCTCTTGGTTTTTTTAATATACCTTGCTTTTTTTTTTTTAAACGATGCATTTAGACTTTTAATTTAGGGCATTGTCTCAACTGGTTAGGCCTTGATTATGTGTTCGTCCTTGTTATTTCCAGTCCTGCAAGTTTATACGTGCGCAGCTCAAACTGTGAAAGCATTGGCTCAAAGTGAAACCTTTTTTCTTTCCTGAATTTGAAGAGTTGTAGAAATGTTGTGGAAGGGGAAATAATAAAAACCTTGTATGATTAAAAGGCTGATTTGAGATCAGACTGAAAGAGTGATAGTACAAACAAAAAAAAACAGTTCAAATCCTCAGGGAATCAAAAGTACAGAAGCATAATGGTGCTTTCCATTTGATCTCGGAATCAGAAAATTCCAAGTTGCTGATGAGGAATGAGGAACACTCTCCATGTAGGGGGAATTCCAACTCAGAGAAACTTTAGTGGTCTGAGTTCAAATCCAACATGGCTTCTCTGTGCATCAATGGTAACAATTGAGCTGTCTTTATTAACTACTCAGTCCTCATTTTGTGTAATTAAATCAATCACTTTGATTGCATCATGCAAGTTCTATTTGTGACATGTTGTCATGATATTTTCCATGCAAACCATCACGTAGTGTGTTGTTATCATCAGGTACAAGCTAACAGAACAAAGGTACTCCTTAAGTACGTCGTTGCTAGCTCCGGGATCCGATGTAAAAGGAGCGCACCATTAAGCGGACATGCATCCATACATTGTACTGACTCCATTTTCCTGCGAGAATAATGAAAAGTCAGACGTTTGGTCCAGATCTGGTTATCTTATCTCGAGATTGCAAAGCTGGTTTTCCTGTGATCACAAGTTCATTTCAGTTGATTTCTAAAGATCTTGACTTTTCTTGTAATCTGGGGTTAACAAACCTTTTTTTCCCCTGGTATAACGGCTACATTCATCTCATTATCTCGTGTTTACAAAGCTAGTGTTCCCGTGATGATGGGATCATTTCCTGCCATTTTCTAACCAAAACATTACCAGTGTATTTATGCATTTTGGACAGTTTTTAGCTTACTAAAATGACCCAACATTCGGTTCCTCGGACCTCTCTGTTTGCTGCTGTGGTCTCTGTGCAGGCATCAGTGTCGTTGGAATTTGACTAGGATTGTATCAGAGTTTACTGTGTCGTACTGCTGATGTCATCGTCTTTCCCATGTATCGATGCTTCCTTTGGCCGTTTGGTTCCCCATGAAATTCAAAGTCTTTCTCCCGTCTTTAGCATGTCTTCTTATGCAGCACAGTTTCTTTCCCCCCCCTCAGGTTAGCTGTTTTCATGTTTTTACTTTGTTCTGACCTTTTTGTGTTTCAACCCTCTAATGTCACACCTGTTTCACATGTAACGCTGACGTACCCCCTGATTATCACCTCCCTCCCCCCTCCAGGCCAGCAGTTCAACATGGAGCACTTCTCCGGTATGCACAACTGGTACGCCTGCTCGCACGCCCGACCGACCTTCTGCAACGTCTGCAGGGAGGCTCTGCCGGGGGTCACGTCCCACGGCCTGTCCTGTGAAGGTACGCACACACTGAGAGAGAGAGAGAGAGTCCCTTTTTATAGTCGATTTGAAAGTCAAATTGATGCTGGAAAAATAGCTACTCACTATTTATGGCTACATTTTATCACATTTGCATTTGATTAACAAACTGACCTGTTTTTTTGTTGTGGATCTTAAAGTTAAAAAAATAAGTTTCATCTTATTTTTCTTAACAACAGTGTTTTTAAATGTGTGCTTATCTTGTTGTACTTCATATTGTGAGGGCTACACGCTTGTCTAAAAATGATGTCTTTCTCTGCAGTCTGTAAGTTCAAGGCTCATAAACGCTGTGCCGTTCGCTCCACCAACAACTGCAAGTGGACCACGCTGGCCTCCATAGGAAATGACATCATCGAGGACGAGGAAGGGGTGAGTGATTGGGTCGTGTCTGAAAAAACAGCGCTAACCACTGCACTAGCATGCAGCGCTAACTTATCACTAAAATATCATAAATAGCTCGGAGTAAGACAAATGTGTTTTGGATTTGCATGCTAATAATTCGTCCCTGACTTGTTTGTGTTTGTTTTAATGACTTGCAGTCAAATGAGTCTGGCTCTGTAGAGTAGAGGCCTCACGTTTATGTGATTTGTCCATGTTTTTCCCACCAGGTGGTCATGCCCCACCAGTGGCTGGAGGGCAACCTGCCAGTCAGCGCCAAATGTGTGGTGTGTGACAAGAACTGTGGCAGCGTGCGGCGGCTGCAGGACTGGCGCTGCCTCTGGTGCAAAGCCATCGTAAGTGTTAACCGTCTCATCAAAATTAGAACATCAATGATACCTTCAAGTTATTTCGACATGTCGCCTCTACAACGACATGTAAAGTCAAACGTCATGATCTCATCGCGGTATAAGTGAATGCGTTGCTTGACATCTGGGCTGAAAGAGTCGGTGCCAGTCTACGCGGTAAGCTGTCCGAGTTAATTATCGTACCCGGTGAGAGGATAAAAAAAAAAACATGTCTGCAGCGACTTCCAGGAGCTGTCTAAATGCAAAGCAGCTCCATAAACCAACTTCTCAGGATAAGACGGGATAGTGCAACATCTGCCCGAGATAAATGTGACAAATGTCATCAACCAGGATCGGAAAGTTTTTGATATACTCAAAATGTTTCTGAAAGAGAAAACAGAGAGATTGAAAGGACAAGAAATCTTCTGAAACATTTATTTTAGGAGGATTTTTTCACTCTCAGTCCAAGCGAGAAGTGTTCCTGTTATCTGTTCTTTACTCGCTGTGGTCTACCTGTTCACCTCCTGGAGACTGAATGTTTCTCAAAGTTCACCTGAGTCATCAGAGTGATAGGACGACACTTAAAGGTGGGAGTCAGAGATCCCCGAGGGGACGAGGAAGAGGAGGCGGAGAGTCGGTTTTAAATGAGAAACTTCACAGGGCTGAGACTGACCTAATTTCTGACCGCCTCAAGCAAGACGACTTTTAATCAATTTCCTGAGCTCGGACGTTAACAAAAAAAAAAAATCCTATACACACTCCTGAAAGTTTCTAGATCATTTCAGGAGGTCGGTTCCTGACAGTCTATGGTCGCACCTTCGCAGGGAATAAATGTCATCACCCCACTTGATAGAGGTTCATTCTGTTTTAAACATGGAGTGCTGCATTTTAAAATGTGTCTCCAAATGTTTCAGTCCCGTCGGAGATCGTTCAGTTTTTTGCAGAACAGAAAACTCAGAAAACTTTCTAAAGCTTCAACACGTTTATTTACAGGTTTTAAAGGCTTTATGTGATTTTTCACACTTAAATATAATAGAAATCAAGTATATCCTCTGAAAATAACTCTGTGAGTCATGACTGTCTACAATGGGTGTAACACCCGAGTCCCACTGTCTGTGATGTTTCAGAGTTTTCAGAGTCCTATCTTCAGTTTGTTTACATCGCCAGGACGGCCGGCTGACTCCTCCCCTCGTGTATAAAAGTTGTTTAATTGAGGGACTAGAGAAAAGAAGAATAACATACTGTACTCACTGCTTAACTGTGTTTCTAGATCACGCTCATTTCAGGTAAATTTACATGCAGTGTGAAGATACCAGCATATAAAGATCGCTAGCATTAGCATGCTAACACAACAATGCACCGTGAGTTGTTTTGGTTTCATGCTGGTGCTCAAGGGCGACATCTGCTTTAAACTGGCATACATGATACTTTTGATTCAGTGTTTATAAAGTGGGTGTCTTGATGCATTCAATTGAAGCCTCATGATTCTCAATTCATAAAACTAAACTAAACAAACTAATCATGTTGCTCTGTTACGCTGATTTCATATCGCTCAAGGCAAAAGATGCAGTGAGAGTTTTGGACTAAATTGTACAAAAAGAAGACATCGCACTCTAACATGAAATGGTTTTAAGCACAGAATGTGAAAAGAATTCAAGTGAAATAAGTCATGTTGTGATTCAAACAGTTATTAAAGGAATCCAACAGAAGAGTCGTGAGGATCTGAACGTGAAGTCAGAAGTCAAACACACAGCCATAAAGATGTTACATTTCTTTGTCTCACTTAGCAAAGCATGGACTGCTCTTGAGCTTTTAGTGCAAATTAATTTCCTACATGCACACACGCGCGCACACACACACACACACACACACACAGACAGAAATGAATCAGAGTGGTATTTGTAAAGGTTTAGAACTGACATTTGGTGGATTTCAGAGAGATGTAATGACCTTTCTGCTTCTACTGAAATATAGAATTGCTATGGAGACCGCTGACCCTGTGTGTGTGTGTGTGTGTTTGGTGTGTGTGTGTGTGTGTGTGTGTTTGTGTGTCTCAGGTCCATAACAGCTGTAAAGAACAAATGGGAAAGGTATGTCCCCTGGGTCAATGTCGAGTGTCCATCATCCCTCCCACTGCACTTAACAGCATCGACTCAGATGGTGAGACACCTTTGTACACAGCACACACACACACACACACACACACACACACACACACACACACACACGCTGGCTCTTTTGTTCAGAGAGTCACATCTTACAGAGGGATCAGGGTTCGAGAATGTCACCTTTCATCTTCAGCTGTGTCTTTCCTTTGTTGCTGAGGGTGTGAGACCTTTTCTTCAAACCCTCAAACATTTCATGTGAAACACAACAATGTAAAGATTACTGTTTTTATACCTTTTCTGTACAGTTACATCTTTAATTATCATCCAGCAGAAAGATAAAGCTTCACATAATGTTACATTACAATCCAGATGTTTTACACCAAAGCACACCTCTGCTCCATGGAGTGTACACCATCAAGTCTCCAAATGTATATTATAAAAAACATTTATATGTTATATATTTAAAGATGGCTGCATGGTGGTTCAGTGGTTAGCGCTGTTTCCTCACAGCGAGAAGCTTCCTGGTTTGAATCCCTGTCTGACAGCAGCCTCTCTGTGTGGAGTTTGCATGTTCTCTCTGTTCATGTTGGGTTCTCCGTCTTCCTCCCACAGTCCAAACACATGCTCGTTAGGTTAACTGCTGACTCTAAATTGCTCGTAGGTGTGAATGTGAGTGTGTCTGGTTGTCTGTCTCTACATGTCAGCTCTGTGATTGAGTGGCAAACAGTCCAGGGTGTAACCCCGCCTCTCGCCCAATAACAGCTGGGATGGCTGTGAGATAATGGATGGATGGATATATAAAAAGATAAAATGTATCACGTTCCTTTAATTGTTTTAAATGATTGAAAATCCTGAAATTCTCCCCATTTGTTGATTTTAAGTGAAAGATTTACTCGTGTGTTGTTGCTTCTTCTTTAACGTTATATCTGACCCTTTGTGTGTGTGTGTGTGTGTGTGTGTGTGTGTGTGTGTGTGTGTGTGTGTGTAGTATTTCTAAAGAAAAATCTCCTTCTGCTTCCTCTTATCAGGCTAACTTGCAGTTTTTGTTGTAAGCACTATGACCTCTTTCTAGTCTGTCTGATTTTTGTGGGGGATCTTAACGTCTTCACATTATCTCATCTGGATCATAAAGAGGCCTCAGTATTTAAATTAAACTGTTTTATTACAAGTAAAGGCTTTAAGAACATCTTTTTAAAGACACATCATGAAGTTTAGCCATCTGAGGGAAAAACATTATAGTAATGGTAAAGTAGTTATCAAACCCTGCTCCATATTTCTTTAAATTTAGGGTTTTGAGATCAAACAGAAGAGAGCCTGACAGTAAGCTCTTGCTTCATTTGAACTGGACCACAAACTATTTTCTACAGATCTTTGACATGTTCTGATGTAAATCAAGTCTCTTGTGATCTTGTCACAGATGCCTCATAGTTACATACCTGTTAAAGTGTTTTCTAGTCCTTTCCTTTTTCAAAACCCTTTTTGATGAATTTCTAACCCTCCCCCTTCAGGCTTCTGGAAAGCCACCTCAGCGTCGTGCTCCAGCCCTCTCCTGGTCCTCTGCAACTCCAAAAGTGGAGACAACCAGGGGGTGAAGTTCCTCCGCAAGTTCAAGCAGTTTCTCAACCCGGCTCAAGTTTTTGACCTGATGAACGGGGGACCAGAGCTCGGGTACTTTTAGTTTCCTTCAAGTTCCAACAGGACGAGAAAATGTTAGCGGTTCATCTGCAGGGGCGTGTCCAGGCTTTTATTGGACTGGGTGGCCCAACTGGGGCAGGGGTGGCCTGAAGGGTGATGTGCACCCAAACACACAAATACAAACAAAGGATTTACCCTTTTCTAAGCCCAATAATATCTAGTTTGTGATGCATGATAGTGGCAACATTAGCTTAATTTTTAAGATGAATATTCATAAGTCCTGCCTCTGACAGGGCAAAGAGCCAATCACAGTTTAGGCCCATGCCACCCCTTACCAGCCCTCTGGACACGCCCCTCTTTAACTGTGTACAGGCTGTACTTTTACTGTTTAGTGTCTTCATCTGTAAGAGTTTCTAGTGCACAATGACTTGTGCCATGCATGTACTGAAATGCAGCTATTTTCCTGCCTTGTAATGTCGTCTACCTCTTACCAATCGGTGCTTATCTTCCTCCTCTTTCTCTCCTCCTCCTCCTCCTCTCTCTCAGCCTGCGCCTCTTCCAGAAGTTTGTGACGTTTCGAATCCTGGTGTGCGGAGGAGATGGCAGCGTGGGCTGGGTGCTCTCAGAGCTCGATAAACTAAACCTTCATAAACAGGTGAGCTGGAGGAGGAGGAGGAGGAGGATGATATAATGATGAAGGTGACTGTGAAGAATGTTGACTGCTCAGAGAAAGCAGGACGCTGCCTCAGTTGTGCTGAAACATCTCAAGACCAAAGAGATGCAGAAGAACAAAACTCTATTTCTTCAAATTAAAAGTGCTTAAGCTTCAACATTGACCTAAACCTTTACAATATATTTGGAAATACTTGACTTGACTATTTTGATTGCAGAAAGGACAAATAGAAATGTGTAATATAAAGGGTTTGGATTACTGCCCGACCTATATGTCTCTGATACCGATAAATCGGCCGATATCTTTCTTAGGTCTATAGATCTGTAGAGATAGATTTAGATATACACATTTATTATGTTGTTCCCTTAAATGCTGTTATCAAACACTTGTGGAAAAGATATAAGATGACCACAAGATGGTCTCTCAACTGGAAAGTAACTGGGCATGTAGCCACAGCTAGTTGCCACTAAGCGTAGCCTAGCTTAGCATAGAGTACAGACCTGAAACTGGAGTTAATAGCCTGAGGAATTAGGGACAGACTGGCAAGTAGACACTATATGAACTATATGACACTATATGAACTATATGAAGAACATGGTTGGCTAATTGGACAAATGACCACAACACATTGATTATCTCAACTAGTTGATTAATTTTATGGATGTAATCTAAATTAATTAATTAATTCAGAATCAATTAAAATGTTTTTTATTTTAATTGACGTTTAATTTTAAAATAAACAGCCATGTCACATCAGTTTGAATAATCCTGGGTCATGTCAGACTGTAAAGGTGAGACAGTTTCAGGGCCAGTCGGCATTACTTTTTTAAAATGTACAATAATATCAAGAATTTCCAGTTTATCTGACACATCAGCCTGCTTCTGTAGGATTAGAAAAAGTCACAAGATTTTAGTTATTTTTCAAAGCCAGATTTGTATTTGCCTAGAGACATGAATTTCTCTTGTGCTGCTTTCGATTGAGAACGGGATTTTATCAGCTTGTATGCAGATGATGCATTGATGTATATTTTGATTGTTCTTCTCTCTGCAGTGCCAGCTTGGTGTGCTGCCTCTGGGCACAGGTAACGATCTGGCTCGTGTCCTCGGCTGGGGAGGCCTCTGTGACGATGATGCTCAGCTGTTGCAGATCCTGGAGAAACTGGAGAGAGCCACCACCAAAATGCTCGACCGGTAAGACCAGAGGGAGCGCGGGAGTGTCAGGGGGATTAGAAACAGAGGTGTTCACAGTTAGAGAAAAAATTTAACTGGAGTCTAATTATAGCATAGTATAGCTTAGCTTAGGAGGTGCTGGTAGGCAGATTTTGTCATCTTTCCACAGAGTTAGCTAGCTGTGCCCATCTGTTTCTGGGCTTTATGCTATGCTAAGCTAACCAGCTAGTGGCTACAGCTTCCTATAGACACTAGAATGGTATCAGATTTCCTTGTAACTCTCAGCAAATTCCTAAAAATATTATTATATCCTATAAATTATATGCACTTATACCAGACAGGTTAAAGTATTTCACAGGTCCTGCATGTATTGAGATTTTTTTCTGTCCTCAGTTTGAACTTTTTGCAGATGTTTGTAGATCTGTTCTTATCAGGGGAACGATCTCTGATAGAAAAAGGACACGAGCGCTGTCGATTTCCTGCCTCCTGTCCTCCTATGTTGATCGGATTATCTGATAGTAAAGTTTATTTTCTGGCGGTGTGTGTTTTTGTGTGTGTCTTTAGGTGGAGTGTGATGACTTACGAGCTGCCCACCAGCGCTAAACGCACACCGATCGTGAAAGAAGACGACAGCCTCGATTCTCCTCTGCAGGTAAAACGACTCTGCGGGAACTTCGAGGGGAAACACCTGCCTGTTGACAGATGGCTTCCATCATTAATTAGCCTCCACAACGGCAGACCTCTATGTGCTCAAGATAATTTTGGAAAACATCCTCTGAGCATGATTAAATCTGGCAGCTGGAAGCCAAAACAATCAGACGTAAACCTTGGGGAGTGGTGCAGACAAGACATAAGACAAATTTAGGATACCTGTCCACCGAAGGGGTTTAAGTTTGTTTCTGCTCCTGAACAGTCAAACTCCACTCGGTTGTCTAATATTTACAAAAGGAGAGGACATATTTTCCCAGTTTTAAGACTTTAAGGCTCCTATCTGTCTTTGTAAGCTTGTTAAATCTCCTGGTTTTGATCTGGTTATGAAGCGGACTCAAATTAATACTGACGCTACAAAAAGCAACCAAAACCATAAGAAAGAATGTTCCTAATTTCTGTAAGTTCATTTTGTATGCTAGTAAGTGCCGTCGCCAGGTAGGTGTCAGGCAAGTAGATGAACCGCATGCTGCCAAAACAGCCTTTGTTTACATTCACCACAGAACAAGATAACTTTGACTGTTTAAAGAAAGCAGGATCTGAATTTTTGAAAGATAAAATACTCTTTAAACACACACAGGTATGTACAAGGTCAGCAAGTTGAGAAGATGTATTTCTTTGTCCAAAGGGGGCGCCAAACTGGCCACAAGCTGAAAGTTCCCCACAGGATTCAAAAAGTAAAAAACTAAAACTTGCAACTTGTGCATTTGAAGTTGAAAGGAAAACAACAGGATGCGTGTGTTTGAGGATGTTTGTTTGCAAAGCACTCAGTAAATAAGTACAGAGGAGTAGTGTTGACACAAAGTCTTTCATTTAAGACTTCATCCTCCATGTCATGTTTCTTTATTTACATGTCTAATATTTAAGATTGCATAAGGATTTTTTTTTCATCCCCTCAGGATTTCTGAAGTTTTTTATTTGAGTGTTTTTCTGAAGTGGTTGAAGAAGTTATTGGATGAACAGAAGATAACACATTTTACTTAAACATCAACAAGATAGAAAGGACACAAACACTACCTGAACTAGTGGAGCAGTGGTTAGTGCGTGCGCCCCATGTATGGTGGTGGGCGGCCCAGGTTTGAATCCGACCCGTGGCTCCTTTCCCCCACTCCCTCTCTCTCCCTGATTTCTGCCTCAATCTACTGTCCCATCTCTTAAATAAAGGCTCAAAAAGCCCAAAAACAAATTCATGCAGGAGGATTCAAACGGATATAACTGCAGCCTGTCCTTTAAAGCTCTGACATCTCTCTCTCTCTCTCTCTCTCTCTCTCTCTCTCTCTCTTTCTCTCTCTCAGGTCCACATCACTCAGTATGCAGACTCTGTGGCCTCCCACCTCGCCAAGATCCTCGACTCGGACAAGCACAGTGATGTCATTTCCTCTGCCAAGTACGTATCATTTACACCTTTGGAGAAAAAAAGAGGTTAAACTAGAAGAAGTGAGGAGAAGGAAGGTGAAGGATGCAGAGACGAGAATTAAGCTGGCAAGAGGGACGATGAGCGGGGAGAGAGGGAGAGTGTTTGGTCAATGAGTATTGATCTTTGTTACTTTGGTGTCATCCCTACACACACACACACACACACACTCACAGTGAGGGGACATTAAGCGCTGCCCGGCTGTAAGTGCAGCAGACAGATGAATCAGTATTTAGCGCTCGTCCTCCCTGCATAAGTACATTAGTCGTCCCCCTTTGGGAAGAGTGAGACGGCTGTCCAGAGCACTTTTCTCCTGTGTGCGTGTGCGTGTGCGTGTGCGTGTGTGTGTGTGTGTGTGTGTGTGTGTGTGTGTGTGTGTGTGTGTGTGTGTGTGTGTGTGTGTGTGTGTGTGTGTGTGTGTGTGTGTGTGTGTGTGTGTGTGTGTGTGTGTGTGTGTGTGTGTGTGTGTGTGTGTGTGTGTGTGTGTGTGTGTGTGTGTGTGTGTGTGTGTGTGTGTGTGTGTGTGTGTGTGTGTGTGTGTGTGTGTGTGAAACTGCTGCTGATGTAGTGGAAACCTTGCAGCACATCTTAAAGCGCCGCAGGGACCCGAAGACACGTCTAGAGCACTTCGTCATGAACACGTTACACCAGAGAATGTCTCTCTACCTGTTTTTGAAATATGACATTTTTAAAGTCATACGATGCATTTTTAACAAGTTTCTCCATGAGGTCAAAGGTCACAGCAATATATGAACAGGGGCGGTTTGTATGCATGGAAGTGTAACCTTAATTATGGAGAATAATCATTAACATTCAGGCTGTTGGGCTGCACGGTGGTGCAATGGTTAGTGCTGTTACCTCACAGCGAGGAGGTTCCTGGTTCGAATCCCTGTCTGGCAGGAACCTCCGATAATGAATTGTGAAGTCAAACCTGCTGAGAAAGAAGAACACGTTGTCCTGCAGAGATCTTTGTTTAGCAGGATCAAATGTTTGCTAAAAGTAAGATGACTGTGTGAGTTTGCAGAATCCTCCCTGCTGAGTCACACAGCAGCAGAGTTACAGCTGTGAGTAAACAGAGAGAGGGTGTGTGTGTGTGTGTGTGCGCGCGGGGGAGCTGACAGGCAGGTAGGCGGTCATGAATTCAGAGCACTCGTGTGTGTGTGTGTGTGAGTGTGTGTGTGAGTGTGTGTGAGTGTGACTGCACCATAAATCACCAAAGCTAAAAACATGTTCACCTGCTAATTTACACCACAATAACGTCGTTCATCACGTTAAGCGTCACCCTCTCCTCACCCCCCTTCCTCTCCCCCGCCCCCCTCCTCTGTCAGGTTCCTGTGTGGGACGGTGAACGATTTTGTGGCGGAGGTGGGGAAGGCGTACGAGAGAGCCACGGAGAACAAGGAGGAGGCCGACGCCATGGCAAAGAAGGTAAACGATTTTTTGTATTTTCTGTGTGTTGTGGTGTTCGTTATGTAGGAGTGTGTGTGTGTGTGTGTGTGTGTGTGTGTGTGTGTGTGTGTGTGTGTGTGTGTTCAGTCATCACTCCCTCTGGTACTTCACATTTTCTCTTTAAACACTTAAAAATCTGAATATGAGGACTGAAGAGGTGTGTATGGAGTACTAAACTACATGGAGAGGCAAATACGAGAGACATTTGGCAAAAGTTAAGCATCATTTTGTTGGGCCGCTAATGGCCGAGCGGTAAGAGTGCACCCCATGTATGGAGGCTGTTTTCTGGCCTGGCCTGATTCAAATTTTGTTATCTCCAAAGTGTGTGTGTTGGGTCACTACGATTATTTTTACTGCAGCAGGACAGCCATCTCACAAAGTCGATCGTCCTTATTTGATTTTCTTCTCAAATCACGTTTGATCAAACAAGATTCTGTGAGATCTCGTGTGTCTGTGTGGTTTCCCGCTCTGGCCGAAGCGTCTAGTTTTTGCATTTGAGAAATGTGATGTTAAAAATCGTTTAAAACTGTCCTCATGTCTGTGGTCTCCTAAGTTTTGAAGATTTGAAAACCATCTAACCGTAGTTGTCGGCTGGTTCCAGCTTCTTAAATATGATGTTTTTGTCTTTTTTTTAACGGGAAAGTGGGGGAACTGGATGTCAAGGAATGAAACTCAATCATTACAGCAGCCGTCTTTTACAAGTGAAGAAACTCACGCTGGGAAAGTGTAGTTTGCCAAATGTGTTTTTTATAAAACTGTTTGAGTGAGACATCTCCAAAAGAGAGAAAATCTTTTCATCCAGCTGACGCGTCCTGAGCTTTCACCGAACCTTTTTCCTGTCAGAGCGCTTTACACTCTGCCTGCTTCTCTCTATTTTTCCACATCATATTATGTCGTACTGTCGCCTGGGGGGAAATTCTACCATTACTTAAAAAAATAAAAGATCTCTGTATCTGTAGGGATTTCATGCTGCTAACTGCAGCCACATAGAGTATAAATCTACTCTGAGCAGAGGTTACTAAATTCTCCTCTAGCTCCCATTTAACGCTCCTTTGTGATGTGATTTTAAACACTTCTTCCTCTCTGTGTTTCAGTGTGCTCTGCTCAACGACAAGCTGGATTCACTCGTCAAGGCCTTAAGTGAGGAAGCGGAGGCTCAGGTAAAAAGCAAGAACAAACTCCATGTGAGGTCTTATAGTCAACAAATCAAAAAAAAGGTCCGCAATCATGAGATGTGTCGTCAACAACATGTTTAAAAAATCCTCTAAAAATGTGACCAAGAAGATCAAACCAGCTTTTCCTAAGGACTGTAAGGGATACAGATGGATATTAAAATGAATGGAGAGGAGTTAAATGTGTTGTCAATCTTAAACAAATGATATTGTGAATTGAATTGAAATTATCGGCTGGACAATTAATTGGTCGGGCTCTTATTTAAACTTGTTTCTAAAGGATGACAATATTTAACCTTTAAGACATCAAATATTGGTCACCATTAAGGAGACTTCAAATGGCATCCAGATATCTTCCATTAAGTTCAATGATGATGAGTTTGACGTGAGAAGTAGACTACCTCTTTATATTTCTAAAGTATTGTTTGCTCTGAGAGGATAAAAGTCTTCCTCCTCAGTTGCAACTTCAGAGTTTTTAAATCCCCGACTCATCCTGATCTTTTACCGAGGTAACAGACAAAGCAGTGTTTTTCTTCCCTTTCCCCCTCAGGAGCTGAAACACAAAACAGTGCATAGCTTTTTGTTCCCCCTGCTCCCTTTGGTCTTTAGTTCATGGATTGATCTCAGTGCTCTAAAAGAAATAACACTGCCTCAAAACATTGAAATAAATCCACCAACTGCTCCATTCAAGGCGAGAGGCGGTGAAGTTTAGCTTCATATCAATAACTTTTTGTATTTTATTCATAAAAAAAACAAATATCCTCCTTTCCCTCTTTTTCAAAGTGAATCACTGCCTGCCAGAAATGTCCCCCCACTTAGCGGCTCCACAGAGCAGTAACAGTAAATATATTTGAATGAGGAGACGTTTTTCTGGTTTATTGATAAGGTCTTTCTGCTGCTCATGAATAAAACAAATCTCAGAGGGAAGGCGAATAATAACGGACTCAACACCGCCATTTATTTATCTGACAGCTACAGGAAGCTGATCCTTGTCTTTCCCACCACTTTCAGGTGGTGCCGGCAGGATCAGTGCCCAGCCAGGAGAGCGGCGGCTCGAGCCCCGGGGAAAGTGGCGGGGAGTCGGGTTCAGAGGGTAAAACATATCGGTCCAAGGAGCAGCTGATGCTCCGAGCCAACAGCCTGAAAAAAGCCCTGAGGCAGATCATCGAACAGGCCGAGAAAGGTACGCCAAAGACCGCTCCACTCACATCAAGAGATTTATGGTTTTATTTTTTATATGTACCTGTTTTTCCTCTCTTTGTTTTTTGGATATCATTTTTGCTTTGACGTGCTGCTTGTCATCGTTTCAGTGGTGGATGAGCAGAATCGACACACCCAGGTCCAGAGGATGTCGTCGTCGTCCTCCTTCAAAAGAGAAAACAGCGAGGAGTTTAAGGATGCGGAGCCGCGTAAGTGTCTCTTTTAGTTTGGACTCAAAGTGAAGGGACATTCTCCAAACTGCTGTTTTTACATTTTTAGAAAACAACTTGAGTATTTTAAAAACTATGAATCTATTATGTAAGAAAAGCTTTGGCACCAACATCATCAGACGTTTTTGTTTTTATTTGATTGTATTTATTTTGTCCAATATTGAATATTCCAGATTTGGAATGAAATTGTATTTTTTATTATTTCTGGACGTTATCTAAAAATAATGCCTCTGTCCAGGTCTTGGAAGCTTAAGTCCCACCTCCCCCATCGTCCTTGAGAAACCAGAGAGCCTGAACACTGTCACCTTCAACGAGGACGCCGTGTAAGTACATCCTCGTCTTGTCGCTGAATAAGTTGCTCTTATTATCGAGTAACCACTTTTAATCAACAATTTACATTCTGTGTTTGTAGACACTGTTCTGAGAAGTGTGTGATGAACAACTACTTTGGCATCGGCCTGGACGCCAAAATCTCCCTCGAGTTCAACAACAAGAGAGATGAGCACCCGAAGAAATGCAGGTATGAACAAGCTCACCCACACCAAACTAATAATAATCTGCTTACAGAGCGTTAATTATGTAACCCAACAACTCTCTTTGCCAGCAAGTGTTTCTCTACCCAATATCAGCCATGAACTAGTCATCAACATTTTTAGATTTTCTTAGCTTTTTGGTATAAAAAGCATGGAAAGATACAGACATGGACATGGTTCTCTGTTGGATACATTTATAGCACATTTTCCACTGAATTCTTAATAATACTGTAAACACATAAAACTAGGACAAGGCCATAAAGAAGTTTCAAGACATTTTCCATTGCATTCTAATTTAAACTGTTCTAAATAAAATAAGGTTGGACATATGAAGTAGTGTATCATCTGCATATAAAGACATTTTCCATTAAATTGTTAATAAACCAGTTATTAAAAAAACAAAGTCAGGCACATGAAGAAGTACATCATCTGTATTTAAAGACATTTTCCATTACATTCTAATTTTTGCTGTTTAAAAATAAAATAAGGTCAGACACAAAAAGTAGTATATCTTCTGCATATAACAAAATCATCCATTACATTCTTATTTACTCATTTTATTAAGTATCAGAAGCATAGATAAGTATATGGTCTTAGTTTAAATACATTTTTCATTTCATTCTTACTTATACTGTTAATGCATTAAATACGGTCAGACACATAGAGAAGTATATCATCTGCATATAAAGAAAGTCAATACAGGTTTAAAAATTCTCCTCAGATTTAGACAACTAGTAACTTCTGATTCTTTAGGGAAGTAATAAAGGAATCTTTTTGGGCAATAAAAGTACAAGATTCTCCTTTAATATATTTGAAGTTTGTTTAAATAAACATGTAGCAACCTTATAGAAATTGTCTGCGACAGATGATCTCCTCTTTCTTTTGCATTTGTTAACCTGAGTGACTAAAATAATTCTTTGATCTAGATACATATTTTGTATGTGATATTAACAGTGTTAAATCATTTCTTTTTCCTGTCTCCTCATGCAGTAGTCGCACCAAAAACATGATGTGGTACGGAGTTCTAGGGACTAAAGAGCTGGTCCAGAAGACGTACAAGAACCTAGAGCAGCGAGTTCAACTGGAGGTCAGATACAAACACCCCCACACACACACAGACACTTTATATACTTCTCTTTAAGAATGAGAACCAGAATGCTATGAGCTTTTTCTCTCCCACATTCTGAGTTTTTTAGCTTTTTTAAAATCCCCTCTTTCTCTCTCTCCAGTGTGACGGTGTTCCCATGCCTCTGCCGAGTCTGCAGGGCTTGGCTGTGCTCAATATCCCCAGCTACGCAGGCGGTATCAACTTCTGGGGAGGCACTAAGGAGGATAATGTGAGTAAAAGTGCAATACTTTTCTTTAGGTTTCCAGGATATGCGCTGCTAGACGCGCCCAATTAACCACAAGTTTTCCTTCGTTTTTAAGGTTGTTTATTCCTCTTCTTACCAGACAATTTTAACATTCTTTTCTTGCCGGGGTGGAGGAGACACAGGCCGGTGCGATAGATTCTTTTTTGTGTAGATTTTGTGGCTGCTTTGCTGCGGTCTAAAAACAGTGTGACTGCATACCTGGGAACCCAGTTCCCCGACTGGGCACAGCTGATTTTCATTAGCAGCCGCTCTTGCTCGTTCAATTGTGGGGTGGAGTTTTTATTACGCACCGTCCTTTCCTCAACCACTCTGCATTAATTGATAATTAATTTAAATAATCAATAATCAATAAACAACTCAAAATTGATGAACAAATGCAAAATATCCAATAAGTCACGAAATCAACTATTTGGCTTCAACAGTGAGTGTTATCTGACCATTTCTTTATTTTTGGGTAGACAGATCTGAAAGCTTAAAGTTAATATTTTTTCTCCTCTTTCTGACGTTCAGAACTTTGGTGCTCCGTCTTTTGATGATAAGAAGTTGGAGGTGGTGGCGGTGTTTGGCAGCATGCAGATGGCCATGTCCAGAGTCATCAACCTGCAGCACCATCGCATTGCACAGGTAACACACATCGCTGCATCTAAAACACATCATCGTCATTATGAAAGTCTAAAATGTTTCCCCTCATCTCTAAAAGACATCAGGCTGTTGGCACTCATGTTACTATGAGAGGTGGAGATTTTACAGGATCACAGAAAAAATGTCAAACAGCAGGAGACAGACAAAAAGCAGTCCATGCATGAAAGGAACAAGAAGTCTAATCTGACAGCTGCTGTTTTCTGCTCTGCTGCGTCTCAGTGCCGGCAGGTGAAGATCACCATCCTGGGGGAGGAGGGGGTCCCCGTGCAGGTGGACGGAGAGGCCTGGATTCAACCGCCCGGCATCGTCAAGATCGTCCACAAGAACCGAGCGCAGATGCTCACCAGAGACAGAGTAATGTCACACTCAAATATGAATTATAAGCTGTATAGTATAGAAAAAAACAAGTGTTACTCAAGATTTTAATCTAATATTCCTGTCATAAATATTGCAGCTGAAACTCTCTCCGCTCTCCTTCTTGGGATCTCTGCCCTTGTTGTTGACTATTTTCTATTTCGGGATTTCTTAAATCAGATTCAGAGCCAGTGTGTTTGTACTCTCTTCACGCTGCTCAAACCATCAAGAGCTCTCTTGAGCCGAGCACTTTGGGCAGTTTGTTTCCATGGTTTCTCTCTTTAAGTACTGCAGAGAGAGGAGAGTGTTGGCTGACTGCTTTCATCCTCCTGAGTGTGGCTTTTATTCAGTCAAACGCTCACATTTCTCAGATAAGTGTAATCTCTGCTGGATGCCAGGTTAACACTGAATTATCAACAGGTTTATTTACACTTAGTAAGTAGAACACCTCCTGCTTTCCCCTTTTCAGTCCAGACATGAAGCGTCACAAAGGTGATAGAATAAGATAAAATAAGTATTTGTTTTTTTTTTTACCTTTTTGAACGACCAGGCGTTTGAGAGCACTCTGAAGTCATGGGAGGACAAGAGGAAGATCGACAGCTACCGCGCCGACCGGCCCCGCCTCAACTCCCAGCAGTCCATGGAGTACCTGACGGAGGAGGAGTGCGCTCAGGTGCAGCAGCTAGGACTGGTGGCCGACACACTCATCACTAAGTGAGACGCACTTCATGTTTTCTGTCCTGACTAAATAAAACTGTTTAAACATCAGTGCTCACAGCTTTTTGGACTAAAGGAATAAAGCAAATGTAGAAGTGTCTTAAACCTGCATTCTTTCAAGCGGCCAGCAGGGGCTTCTCCACTTAAAGTCAGTGAAAAAATAACTCCTCTTCTAACATAAGTTATAACCACTCTCCAAGTTTTCTGGTCTCAATCTGTAGTTTCAGGTCTTATTTGATGTATTATGGTCCTGTTTAGACACAACAAAACGGGAATGCTTTGTGGGCAGGGGTGTGGACAGAGGGGTGGCATTGAGGCCCCCCTTGAAATCTGATTGGCCACCCCAAAATCCAAATCCAAGATTGGCTATTTGCCTAATCAGAGGCTGGGACTTAACTACTAATCAACTATTCTGGCTGTTTTCAACAGGATCAGCAGTTGAATTCTTCTTTTTGCACCTAAACTTCATTTTATGTTCATCTGATGACCTCTTAGATCCTCTGAAGTGATCTCTTTTGATTTGATCAGCTTCTTCTCTGTCAAGTTAGCAGAAATGTTATTCTTCTTCCAGGACGATCCTTAATTACCTTACATTTCTAAATTCATCCCACAAGTTTAAAAAAATGCCGATGTGGGGGATTTCTCGAGGTCGGGGGAAATCGATGGGAAGAGGAGAATTGAAGAGCACATAAAAAGGCTTGTAGTCGTTTTAGAAGATGGAGATTATTTATAAATAGTGAGCTGCTTGAGAATGAAGATTCTTAAAGGACAGATAAAGACCGATAGAGAGATGTTCTTCATTCACTCTTTTCAGCTGTGGAGCTTTGTTGTTCCCGGTCGCAGAATTTTCTGTCTAATCATCATCAAAATGAACTCCGGCAGCCAGGGTTCAAATCCGACCTGTCGCTCACTTCCAGCAAGTCATTCCCCACTCTCTCTCTCTCTCTCTCTCTCTCTGATGTCTGTCAGGTCTCTAAGATTAAGGCATAAAAAGACCAAAAAAAACTGTTTAAAAAAACATCAAAATGCTTTTGTCCCGTCAACAGGTGAACACAACCTGTTGTTATATTTCTTCCCTTCCAGCTCATCAAAATAATAATTAAAGCTCTTTTTCAGTCTCTGACGTCTTCCCTCGTCTTCTCTCTCTCTCTCTAGGATCCGTGAGGCGGCCAAGACCCACAAGCTGGTGGAGCAGGAGCTGGCTCACGCCGTCAACGCCACCGCCCTGGTGCTCACCGAGGCCAAACTGTCCAGCCCCGAGGTGAGACAGACGGACGCACATATGGCTCATTGGATTTTTAGAAAAACAAGGATCGCAGCTCAACATTTAAAGCGACACACTCTGGTCTCTTATCGTCTTTATTTACATCTTCATTTATTTATCTATATCCTCGAAAATCCTTTTTTAGCGAGGAACCCTCATTAACAATGTTGAAGAGGTTCAGACTGTAGATTTTAAGACGGATCAGCTGACACATGTTTAGTGCTAAACCACATGTTTTACATTAAGTTACGAGGCGTCTGTGCTCCTCCTGATGAAGTTCTGGTTTCATGTTTTCAGTGCCTGAGTCGCAGCACGGCGGTGGAAATCGTCAACAGCAGTAAAGTTCTGCAGGCTGAGACCAAGATGCTGCTGGATGGAAAACTACTGGTACTGGTCCTCTCTCTCGCCCTCGCTCTGCCCTCGCTCTGTTGTGTCCTTTTGTTTCCTCTCTCACTGCCTGTCTCTGCTGCAGCGTCTCACATTTCACTGTGTGTTTTATCGCCTTTTGTTCAGTTTTTTGTTTGCTTTGGGTTTATTTACCTTTTTATTTCACAAAAGACCTTCGTGCAGGAGAGCAAACACTCAGGAAAAAAAAACAACGACATGACGCAATAAGAACAAAACTGATGACTTTACAAACTCATCCGTTCTGTTTTCTTATCTGTCCTGTTTTTATCTTCCTCTGTTTGGAAATGTTTACATCCCCCGTTCACACTAATTAGTCAAAACTTCCACTGATTACATCTGAAGTCCCTCCGGAGACATTGTGTGATGAAGTTCAGGTAGAGATTTGTCTTCCCTAAACTTCCTCACAGTCAGAAAGAAAAGATGAGACGGGAGACATAAAAATGCTAATTACATTACAGCTTTAACAGATGTTCAGTGATTACAAATCTGTAAATTTCCATAACGATTTACATTACAATACAGAAACAGAGCAGATGTTAGCGTTTAGCATTTTCAGATGGTTTTAAAAAATGACCTTTTGTGCCTTTCTTAGAGATAGGACAGTATATAGAGTGGTTCAAGATTCCATATCCGCTGGTATATCTCTGATGGTATATAAGTGACTCCATCTTTCCCGTCCTCCACAGTCGGAGTGTCCGGAAGAAGAGGAGCTACGGTCGACTCTGAACAGCCTCAGCGCTGAACTGCACAAGCTGGACGACATCCACTGGATCTGTCCGCTGATGCAGTGCTCCGAGGAGGTAGGAGGAGTCAGAATGTTTTGACTGTTTGTATTGATTTGAGAGAAAAAAAACATCTTATTATCACATGTCATGTTTCTGTCGTCATTCAAGTGAATTTAAAGCTACATTTTGAATTTTCCCAACAATTGATTGGGTAATAGTCACGTTTCCCATCATCTGGTTGTTGGGTAATTGAACTAGACTCACTACAAAAGCGTAATGCACGGCTGTAATCCACCAGTAAACGCAGAAGAAGACGTCAATTCCCATTGGCTTTCTAATGATGGTACATGGAAATAGAGATCCTTAAGGGTTGCTTCTTTTGGCAAGTTTTCAAATTTGAGCAGAAATAGCTTCCTTTCCTTCTTCTTCAGCATCTTTTTTTTTTTTTTTTTTTCCCCTTTGATTTCATGAATTGGCAGTTGACAAACAGCTTTTAAGCAAAATACTGCCCCCTTCAGGATGTAGTCAGTACAGTTTGGCAACATAGAAACCTTTTATGCACAATTGAGGAGAATTTTGTTGATACTTATTGGAGTTCTTTCAAAACAGAAATCAAAAATGTGAAATTATAAAACAACCTCTTTCCACTTTTTCCATGTTCAGCCTCTTTCCTTCCAGACAGCTGGTCTCTACATGTGTCTCTTGGTGTATTTCCATGTCTTCATTGGTCTCTGTCTCTGCTCCAGGACTCGGTTCGGGGCAGCAGTAAGAGCAGCAGCAGCATGAAGCTCAAGATTATTCCCAAGGTGAAGAAGGAGAGGGAGAAGCTCCATAAGCAGAAGTCCAACAGCTCCCTCTCAGGTAAGAGTTCAGAAGGTTCAGTTTGTCTCAAAACAAAGAACTTTCTCACATTGGTTTCTATGTATGTAGCTTCTTTAAGGAGCACAATACGATTCTGATTCTTCAGTTTTTCCAGCTGCTAAAACTCCCCCATGTGTTGAGTAAAGATGCCTCGCAGCCACAGTATGCAAACCTTACAAGTCCCCTTTGTTCAGGCCTGATTCAGACATTTATTTATGGATCGGTAACAGCTCTAGAGAGACCGATCCATGCTCTGTTGTCTGCTCCAGCTGTCTAAAACTCCACATCCTGTCCAGCAGTGATACCTTAGAGCCACAGTGTGCAAGATATCTTAATACTGGTGTAACTTGGTGCTCTAATCCGAGCACTGAGCCCGGTCACCCTTTGAAAGGAAACCACTTTAGAATAGAAAGGAGCCAGTTGAGGTGGTTTGAGCTGGATGCCTCCTGGTCGCTTCCCTCTGGAGGCCTTCAGGGCAACTGGGAGACCCCGGGGGTAGACCCAGTGCTTGTTTCTTACGTTCAAGTTACCCTTTTATTTATGTCAACGTCTCATTCTGGTTCCACTTAAATGCTCTGGTTGTGGAAGTAAAATTCCCCATTCAAGTTCTCCATGGACATTTCAGAAAATCTTTACATGAAGAGCCTTAAGCCTGAAACAAAACCAACCAGCTATCCCAACACTTGTAACAATAAAATATTTGATTTGGCACGAAGACGATGGGAAAATCGAGAAAAAGTCAAAGGTACAAGACTGTGTACATATTTTTTGGGGAGAGTCAAGGAACTACCCATCCCAATGTTTATACTGTTAATACAAGTGTTGTAGTTTGTGTTGTGTGAATATACAAATTACATTCACTGTGGCATAACAAGGTTTTTAGAATGATTCATGTTAGCTACCGAACTAGCTAGCCAACTATCCGTTCACATTCCTGGTAGCAGCGATTCCACCAATCAGAGATGTCTCTGTGACACTAGGATCGTGGGTATTGTAGTTCTTTTCCCTGTTTTCGTTATCGTGACTAAACCATGTTTTTGCTTAAAACGAGGTTGATATTAAACAAACTTGAAGCATTAACCATGGTAGATCCATTTCTGTTTCTTTCTCTGTTATGGTCTTGGAACATCTCCTAAAGCAAACAAATCTTTATATTTGACACCGTCATCTAAAACTGGATCCCTGCCATTGTGAGCTAGTGAACCACAATGTTCCAAAACCTAAATGGCAGCCGGCTGTTTGTAATAAATCAGAGCCGAGGGTCTTTGAAGGTCTTGTTGTCCCGGAGGAGAGTTTCTTGAAAAATGTAACTGCACCTTCTCTATTGGGAGCCGTCCAACACCAATCATTTTGGGACAATAGTTTTTTTGGACCTTGAGAGAGATTTTAAATCTCCTCGTTTTTCTTCTTCCTGCAGGTACTTGGGAAATCAAAGGTGGGGCTGCTGAAGCGGATTCTCCGGGCAACTGAAATCTCGAATGAGGTGCTTTTTATTTCTGCCCCATGTTACTTTGACAATCAGGGGCAAGGAGCTCCTCCGCTCTGATCGTGATACCCGGGGACCAGTCAGAGGCGTGAGGAAGAAGAAACGAGGAACCATCTTCCCAACTTTTACGCCATTCCCTCCATTTTTGAAGTCTCCTCTCAGAGGATGAAGGCGTCGTTCCTTTAGTTTTTTTTATTTTATTGACGTACTTTGAAGGGGCCTGGTTTTGCATTGCATTGCGTCACCATTGGGCGTTCTGCTTTGGGTTGTGTTTACCTGCTTGAGTAAGGATGTTGTCGTGACCAGCAGCAAATCAAACCAAGCAAGAAATGGAAGAAAAAGCTCTTGCAATTTTTTTTGTTTTGTTTTTTTCGACGAAGAAATGTGTTTACTTGGTGCTCTCTTTGCATGTCGAGTGCAGCCGTCTTATTTTATATCTATCATAAGTTGTTACAAACTTTTCAATTCTCGTCTCTACATTCAATCCTTTAATTCTTAACTTGCAGCCTTTAGACTTTGATTTTTTTTCTCAAGACTTTCGGAAAAGAGTATTTATTTGTTGTTGCTACTGCCATGAGAACTCAAACGGCAACAAATCAAGAAAAATGAACAAACTGAAACATCTCAACCTTATCGTCTACTGAACTGGGAAACATCTTAAATGTTGCAAAAAAATATACTGAGGAATGTACCTGTGTGGACTTGTATTATTTACCTGTGAATAATGATAACGTCATATAAGATTTCACAAAGGTTCTATTGTTGTGGTTCTAAAGTGGTTCTTAAATAGGATGTTGTCTGACTTGTGCTTTCTGAGGCTATGCAGCCGCACTGCAAAAATAGCGTTGTTTACGATGAGTCATTTCGTCTGGAGATTAGCTTTATTAAAACATCTTTGAGTGTAGGATTTAATGTACGGTACAAACTCTCTGTTCTTATCAAAGTCTTATGCTGGAGTCGAGAAATAAATCCTTTTGGTGGTACAGTACCAGACGAAATGACTCAAGCAGTCAGATGTTTTTGCAGTTTAAGGTGTTTACAGGAGGAGGAAGCATCAAGGACGCTTTGATAAAACATTACTCAGTATATTACTTCTACTTTGCCATACTGCTGATTGTATATTTAACATAGGAATAAGAGTCAGTGCATATTTAATTTTGCCTTGTCTGTGGTTAAAAGCTATTATTATATTAATATTATTGCAAAAAAATATATATATATTTTTCGTATATCTTATTTTTAAATGCTGATCTGCTTTGCTGCTTCCCCCTTTGACAAACTCCTTGGCCACTGTGCATATAATCGAAGCCAATAAATGCTGTTCTGTGTGTCTCTGCATGCAAACTTAGCTCTACTCCGCCTCACAGTGAGGGAGGAAGTTGCCTCGAGGAAAGTGAATTTTAGCTTGTTTCTTCAAACGGCAGCATTTGCAATTTTTTTTGAATCCGTCCTTGCTGCTTTCCACACCAGCTGTTCGGGGGTTTTGACTCTTAGATGTCTGTAAAATGCTTTATTTTGTGTCCAAACTTAAAGAGAATGTAATTGATTCAAACCCCCGACTATCGAGCAGCTTATAACAAAAAACAAGACTTCAAAAGGCAAAAGTTAGTATGAGAATTTGTCTTGAATTCAGGTGCTGCTTTGAGGAACTGGCTAAAATTTAAAGCAACTTCTACCCTGTTTATACTTTGATGTTTTTGAAAGAAGTGAAGGTACATTTTGGTAAATTTGCTAATATGCTGGGAGTGGGTTGGGGGGAGCTTCCAGTTTTCGGCAGAAATTGGAAAAAATTCTCCAATTAAATTAAGATACACCTTTAAGCATCACCCAAAATGTTCTTACCAATTTGGACAATGATTTCCCCAATCATGTTAAACTCCCCAACCCTAACCAAGGCCTAAAAATTGCCTCCAAACCTGACTGATTTCATTTAGCTTAAAATAAGTCCTCAACTGTAGCCCAGAAACGGTTGCTATTTTATTTAATTAAAGTTTTTCTGAAAAACATGGCACATTTTAAAATAGTGTAAATATCCATCTTCCATCACATTTTAGAAAAAAATGTAAGCTGTGTTGGGTTATCATGATGTGGCAAAGCTTCAACGTTAGCGAAACGTTAGCCGAATGTTTCTGTTGTGTTAAGTTTTACAAACATATTTTTTTATTTAAGGTATTAAATAAACACATACAGTAGATAAGAAAACTCTTTAACAGATGGGCTCTCTTTCCCATACGCAAGCGCTTAGTCGTGAGCTAATGGTTGCTTAACAAGCTAGCTAGTTTAACATGTGTTCAGGTTAACTGATGGCACAGAGATGATTTTTAAAAAAGGACAATTATCTTAAAGACAGCAGGGAGTGTAAATTTCTCAAAATGTCAGCTTTGAAACTTTTAATTACCAGGATGTAATTAAAAAAGTGAAGTCTCCTTGGCACGATTGAACGTCAGTCAATGCTAGCTAACATACAGGTTAGTGGAGTTAATCTACAACATTTAAAGGTACTTTGACGAATAACAGAAACGTTTTTCTTTTCATGTTATGTAAATAACTTGATGTGAAAACTCCACTACTTTAAAATTTAATATAAAAGGGACAAAACCGTGACTTTAGCATTCAGTGTTGACTCATGTTTGATCATTCAGACTTTATCTTTAGCGTCCTGTAAGAAGGCTGTTTACTTATAAAAAATAATTTCTGTGATTTTTTTTTTTCCATTTCATGTAAATGCTTGATTCTCGTCTTATTTTCAGGTATTGATATCTTTCTCAAACTAACCTTTGTTGGGGCTCGTTTACTGTGAGGCGCTGTAGATGTTCAGCTCTGGTAGGATTGTGCTACTGTATCCATAGTGTGCCAGCTTAACGCTCTACACCTTAGAGGCTTTAGTGGTGTCGTGCCAAGTTTGTACCGAGTTCAGTGGGGTTACGAGACATACAACGAGCGCGTGTGAGAGTGCGTTAGCTTCAGATGCGAATGTTGTTGTATGTCGTACATTTCAAAGTTTACTGTATCTTGCCTTGCACTTTACAAAAACGCAACTTAATGGGGAAAAAAAGACATTTGTGTGCATGTGTGCGCGTGTGTTTTAAGATTTTGAGTGTTTTTTTTAACTTAATTTGATGATAAAAACATTTTATTTATGAAAAACGTATACGGACAAATGTGTGTTGATAAAATGTAATATATCTAACCAAACGTAAATGAATGATAAATATGTATACACAAATGTTTATTACATCAGTGGTTGTACAATGACTCCCACAGCAGCTTGAGATTTCCCATTTAACGCCAATGTTATTAATGTGATTACATGTTATTCCACTGCCACAGCAATGTCATCTAAGTGTCTTTCAAATCGGTATTTAGACATTAATTTAAGAAGAAAATGCAGATATGAAACTATTCCAACTTTAAGCCAAAGTAAATGGGATTTTCCAGTGTTACTGCAGACTACTAATGAATTGTTTACACAGAAAAAAAAAGATGTCATACTCAGCCTGTGTTTAGCCAATATTTGGGTGAACATTAGTGTATCATTTTGAAATTGTAACATCGGTTGAAAAAGTCTACTTTACGCTTTACTTACCAATAGTTGTGCTGAAAAACGAACGCAGGTTTGTCAAGTTGAGGGACCACACATTCTTGGAAGCCATTTTTGGAATACACAAAAATCTTGTTGCCTGTGTTTACTACTCTTTTAAACAAGGACTTCATGGTGTTTTTGTTTGTTCTTTTACATATCAGAATGTGTTTTTCTTTTCTTTTTTTTTTTATCATTTTTTTGTCATTGTTTTAAACACAAAAATGTCACATTTGACTGAAACTATTCCAAGGACTTTTGTGGAGCTGAAAAAAACAACAACAAAAAAAACACTGAAATGAACCAACACATGACTCCGCCATGTTTGTGCAACAGTATTCCATTGATGACATTTGTGAACGCACCCCTTTTGATCAGATCAGCCCACATTATGTACTGAGACTGTGCGAGCGATGTTGGAAGCCAGACTAGATGTTGCACGACCTTGTACGTTGGGAGGTGTTTTAATCGTGTTATCGTGTGCAGTGTGTAAAAAAGACAACGTCAGCGCAAACTCTTGGAAAATTAAATGAATTATTGAAGTGTGATGATGGTGTCGTTTGGTTTTGTAAGACTTAAACACAGAACTATGGGAAATCTAAATAAATCACAGATAACATGTGTTCACATCAGACTAGCATTTTGTCAGAATGTATCTTCTATCCATCAAAAACCAAATTAACCCATCAGCTGTAAATCAACAACAAGCTCTTTCATTTGAAGCATATTTAAGGTGTTACGTCTCATTCTTTGGTTGTAGCTCTAAAACCTGCCTGTTTAAAAAAATCACACCCACGTGCTGCATGTATCACTCTGTGTAGTAAAGCAGTAACAGTGTAGGTGTGTTTGAGGCTAATATTCAGGAAAACAATGTGTGGAAATACAATTTGAGCATGACTCACGAGCTAAAGGCTAAATGTTTTGTTTACAGCAGCGGCCTGTTACACCAGTGAATACTCCAGTGATTCATTAGGCTCTTAAGTGAGTCATTAATCTTAATCTCTCTGCATTAATGTGGGCGACGTGCATTGTATAACAACTCTTTATACAACCAATAGAGCCTCTTATTCCTGTTGAGGAACGCCGTTTGTTTAAGAGATTTAAAAAAAAAAAAGAAGACAAAATTAGAAACAGGAACGATGAAGCCTTTTATTGAAGTTTCATCCAGTAAATCTTCCTTTTTCTAGGAAAAATCTCACAATTTTCAAGCTTTAAATAAAAAACAAAGCACCCAGTGTTTGTCGACCAATTGCTTTAAGAGAATCAAACCTTACATTTCTTCAGAAGGAATTCTGACGTCATCTTAGATTTGCAGCCAAAAACATAAAAGTGACTCCCAATGATTCCAGAATTTTTTTTTTTTTAAATTGCCTCATTGTAAAAATCTATTTTAAAAGCAGGGTTGGTCATTTTCCAAAACTAGCATGATTTTGAAAGTAGCATTCCCTCAGTGCTCCGTCTGCACCCGTCCCCCTCCCCTCTGTGCTCCCTCTAAAGCCACGCCCCCTCACTTACATGCTCCACAAGCGGACTTCAGCTCATCGCTTAAATTGTGTAGAAACTACGTCGTTTCATGTCTCATTCAGCGGTAATAAACTCACATTATAAACTCCGTCATCAGATTTGAGTGGGCTAGAGCACACAAGATGTAGAGAGCGAGCAGGGAGACAGGGAGGCGCCTGATTGGTTCATCAGATTGGTACCTCGTGGCAGACATTGGTCAAAGTTTTTACAGACTTACAACTGCTACAGATGACGGATTTTCTTCTTTCCTTTTTCAGAGAACCTGAGTTATTAATTTCTGTCAGGACCTAAAAATAATTTCAACCAAACTCTTAAAAAGTGAATCTGGAGGAAATGACCAACCCTGCCTTTAATTTGCTCTTATTTCTACCAATTCTGATCTTTTGTATCTTTTTACTCTAACTCTGGCATGCCTTCGTAATCTCCTCCCTCATCCTCCAGCCTCCTCTGCTCCTCCAGCTTCTGCCTCTCCTCCTCCGCCCTCCTCCTCTCCTCCGCTGCCCTCCTCATCTCCTTCTCCACCTCCTTCCTCCTTTGATTCTCCATCTCCTCATCTTTCTTCTTCTTCTCCGCTTTTTCTTCCTGCGCTTTCTTTTCTGGCAAATCGTAGGCCCACTCCTCGTCCGAGTCGCTGATGTCATTGTCATCGATGTCTCGGTCCGGGTGGTAATATTCTGTGGTTACGATTTCTTTTTCGGGCTCCGGTTCAGCTTTGTATTTGGGGTCCTCCAGTTTGCCCCAGGCCACTTTGTCGGCTTTGCGGAGGATGATCTCCACTTTGGATGCAACCATGTTCACCGAGCTCTGCTTCACATCGACCACCTGAAGGTAAGATTCATCACAGAGGAAAAAAGATTTGAATAAATCTTAACCAATGGCCAAATCTACTGAGACTCAATCAGCTGGTTCTCACCCCCCAGAAGTGAAAATCTCTCTTGAAAATCTTGTTGTCCTCAAACTGAATCTGACATGTGAGCTAGAGAGGGAAAGAGACAAGAATGAGGTCAATGTAGAAAACGTTTCATCTCTTTAAAGGCTTTATATGTGATTTTTCACACTTAAATAGAAATCAAGTATATCCTCTGAAAATAACTCTGTGAGTCATGACTGTCTACAATGGGTGTAACACCCGAGTCCCACTGTCTGTGATGTTTTCAGAGTTTTCAGAGTCCTATCTTCAGTTTGCTTACATCGCCGGGACGTCCGGCTGACTCCTCCCCTCACGTATAAAAGTTGTTTAATTGAGGGACTAGAGAAAAGAAGAATAACATACTGTACTCACTGCTTAACTGTGTTTCTAGATCACGCTCATTTCAGGTAAATTTACATGCAGTGTGAAGATACCAGCATAATAAAGATCGCTAGCATTAGCATGCTAACACAACAATGCAGCGCGAGTTGTTTTGGTTTCATGCTGGTGCTCAAGGGCGACATCTGCTGGATCAAAAAATCGCATATAAAGCCTTTAAAGACATCTTCATGAAGTCACATGTTAAACTGGTTTGAATGAATTTCATAGATGTTGAAGCTTCAGCTAAACTTGAGCTAAAAATATAATAAATCCCAAAGAAATGGAAACATTCAATAAATACAATAAACCATCAATGTAATTTTGCTGATTCATCCCCACTGCTATGTTTAGCTAGCAGTGCTACTTCACCAGGAAAAGTGTTTCACCTTCGATCATCAGAGAATCAGATGCACAACATCCGTACCAAAATCTCTTTATTCACAGAGAAGTACCTTCAAGTTTCAACTCAACTGAGCCTCCATCAGGACATAAGGAACAATTAAAACCAACCCCCCCGTATTCACAAACATTTTGTGAATGTTCATGAACTCACCACGGTCCTGTTAGCCTCGATGCAGGTTAACTGTGGGTGAGCGTTCTTGGCGTAAATGGTTACGACGACATTGTTTCCTGTCTGATGCCAGTCATGTCGACATGCCACCTTCTTCTTGTCCTGTAGAAACACACACACACACACACACACACACATACACACAGGTGTCAGGCACAGAATATGCTTAGAATATTGCTTAAGTGAGGATTTTGAGATAAGGACCTCCGACTCTTCTTCATAACTTTGACTTGTAAAAGAAAATGGAGCGTCAGTAGCAGCAGGAATATCTACTTTAAATGTGTGCTCAAACAGGCCGTTTGGAGATTTTCCCTTCATGACATCACAAAGGGCAGTAGCCCCTCCCCCAGGTGGGTGACACTCCCACAGCTAGGTGTTTGTTCTGCCCTCTAAGTCTGCCTTCTCACCGTAAACAACAGGACATGGAGCGAGAAAGCCCGAGCCAGATTCCCTTCCAGAGAGGGGGCGTGGTCAGACACAGCTCATTTACATATTTAAAGGTACAGACACAGAAACAGCCTGTTCTGAGCAGGGCTGAAATAGAGGGGTTTATAGGTATGATCAAAGACAGGATCAGAGTGGATTTAGAACAAGAAACTTCACACACATGTTTTGAGGAGCTCTGAGACTTATTTACACTGAAGTAGAAGAGGAGGAGGATATGTGACCTTTAAGCTTTCATTTACATTATTTAGATGCTGCTTTTATTGTAAAAATAGTATGAAATAAACTTGGGTGAATTAAGGATTCATTGTAAAGACGTTTCTAAACTATAAAGAACCAGGCAGCTGTGTAAATAAAGTGACGCTGAATTTTCATTTCTGTATTTCAAAGCTTTGTTTTTGTCTCCTTTTAATGTGTCTTTGAGCTAACCAAAGCCAAAGTAATAGACAGTAACTCAGTGTTTCGTCTACCTTCTTTGGCACCCAGCAGTGCTTCCCCGTGGTGCAGCCCTTCTGGTCGAGGAAAGCGTTGAAATCTATCGTCTTTATGCAGCAGCAGCTCCAGTACTTATATCTAACCAGCAACAACAGAACAGAGGGAAACAGGATGTCACAGGTTAGAAAAAAAAAGAGTTTGTAAAAACAGCGTCTGTGGAAAAGTGACTTAAAGAGCCTATAGGGCAAAGACAGAGGAAGACACAAAGTGAATTTAACTACAAGGACATGAAACAGGTCAGACTGCAGAGAGACATAATTTCAGGAGTGCAAATGTGAAAACAGCGTAAGTGTCTCAACGCCTTTTAATCGGTTCATGGACACAAACTTTTTCTTAATAGGTAAAAATCCAACGAGCAGCATTTAGCTAAACTAACAGTGGACTGATGTTCTCGTTCTGTTTTTACTTATAAAGTCTGAAATGTTACATATTCTTTATTTTACTCGCTGATCTTTAAAGAATCGTCTGTCTGTCTGATCGCTCAGCTTTTATGATTCTTGTTTTGCTAACTCTTTGTTTTCTTTGCATTACTCCCTGTCTTTGTAGCGACGCTCTAATTACTGTTTAAAAGGGGGGGGGGGGTGTTGTCCAAACAGAGATTTGTAATTATGATTGTGTTGTCGTGGATTTTGCACAAAGCCTTTGTTTGTAATATCCGGAGTGGAGGAGCAGAAACATGCAGCGAGGTGCGTTTGCGTCTCACCCCTCGTGGAAGACGGGCGCTCCGGGGTGGTGGGTGCAGATCTCCGTGTCCGTCTCCGGGCCCTGATACATCTGAACACACAAACACACAACAGGAATGATCCGAGTGTGACCATCAGACCATCAGTGCAGACTTTCTCTCTCTCTCTGGTCACCAGTCAAGTGTGATCACTGAATGATTATCTTCAAGAGAAACTCGTTACCAAAGGTCAAAATCAAACGTGGGATGATTCATTTATGTTATCCATTAAGTCATTTCATTATATGATATATTATTATTATATGATTTATTCTGTTGTGGTTTTTTCAGTGGTTTCTTTAAGGGCAGGACAGTGGCTAGAGAGAGAGAGAGAGAGAGAGAGAGAGAGAGAGAGGGAGGAGAATGACATGCGGGTAAGGAGCCACAGGTCGGGCTGCCCGCTTGGAGGACTAAAAATGGAAAATGGACTTGAGCTTGTATCGCACTTTTCTAGTCTTCTGACTATAAGACTTGTGTAAATCAGTGAACTTCTAGTGATAAAACATACAACAGAAAACTCAAAGTACTTGGTCTTTTTTTCAATTCTATGATTTACATCCAGAATTTACATTTTTAGACACTTCAAATCCATCATTACCCCTTTACCTTTTCTGAAGATTATTTCCTTTTTAATATAGACAGAAATAACAGGAGCAAAATGTACTGTAAGCACTCTTACACCGCAGGTCACACCTACACATCACACACTGATCACATGCATACTTATGGTCTACCAGTTGAAACAGGAGAGCGAGGACAAGCCGGTGCTGACAAACCGACTGAATACAGAACTATAGGCTGTGTGTGTTGTTCTCCACGTTGTCCACTAGATGGAGCCGTTAAGAAGCTCCACAGGACAAGAGGAGCGACAGGCTGAAGTCAAACTGAGGAACATGAGCACATTGTGGGTGATGAAATGTCAATGAGAGAAATATGTGAAGAGAGTGAAAAAGATGTATAAAGGAAATAAAGCACTTACTGTTTTACATCCTGCGTTCTTGCAGCGCGTCCCGTGCATCACCGCCTCACTTTCTGTGAGAAGAAAGTTATTGATCCCAATCACTGATCCCTCTGATGACATCATTCTGATATGAATATTCAGTTTGGTTCTTTAGACATGTTTACAGGAAGGAGTGTTTGTGTTTTTATGACTAAAAACCCTGTGACACACACACACACACACACACACACACGCACACACACACACACACACACACAAACACACACTCTTACCTTTCTTCTCTCTCTCCACTCTCTTGCTGATGTCCATCTTCTCCAGAGCCTGAGACAGCGAGGCGGACACTTTGTGAGGCAGCTTGGTCTTTGGCTCTTCTGAACTGCACACACACACATAAACACAAATAAACACACACACACACACACACACACACACACACACACACACACACACACACACACACACACACACACACACACACACACACACACACACACACACACACACACACACATTAACGTGAACAAGGGGTCTGCAGAGAAATGAACACAGAGATGCAGAGAGACTAGGAGGCCTCCAGACTGAAACAAGGTCCAGAAGTACCTGCAGAAACACAGAGGTAAAGACAAGAACACACACTGCTCTGATCTCACACACACACACACACACACACACACACACACACACACACACACACACACCTGGGTCTCTCTTTCTGCAGCGTCTCTGCAGATTTGGGTCCCTGGTAGATGATCTCGGGGCCGTTGGTGTGTTTGCCGTCGGTCTTATCGGATGTCACCTCCGGCCTCAGAGGCTCCTGAGGCTTCTCGTTGCTATGGCGCCCGCGGGTGCAGCCCTGAGATCGGAGACGAATCAAGGTCACCTCAGAGGAGTTTGTACTTCTGGTTTAATTTCTCCATTTACCATTTAGTGAAGTATTAATATTTATTATTATCGTGGGGAAACAAGACATCTTACCTTGATGGAGAGAAACTCTGAGAAGTCTGTCGTCCTTTTCCTACAGCATGACCATCCCTGAAACACACACACACACACACACACACACACACACACACACACACACACACACACACACACAGGATTAACCTTAACCCCCAAAATAAAAGTTTGTTTGTTAGTTTACGTCTTTTATAACTTTTACCTTCAAGGCGTCATGGAAGATGGGGACACCTGGATGGAAGACGCACGAGTCTTTGGAGGAAAAAAAGAAAGAAGCGGTGAGTCCGAATATGGACACACACACACACACACACACACACACACACACACACACACACACAGAGAGTCAGCAAAGGGGGGAGACCAGCTGTTCCGGGGGGGCAAAGAGTCCCATAAAAGGAAGCTGGTTAGATAGCTCAGGACACATGGCCCGCTACACATGCTATGCTAACTGACAACAAGCATGTGAGACATTAAACTAAATGTTCTAATTCATGTCGGTCAATCCAAACGGAATCATTTTTATATGAAGTCCTTTCCAACAGTCTGCGTTCTTCAAATGGATCCAGACTCACTTGCACAACATGTAAAATGACTTTTTGTAAAAATTCATCAAATGTGAGCCAAAATTGTTCATGGCATTTTATACTTCAGGAGCAACAAAGGACAGGAGTAAAAGTTCATCATGAAAGCACAACTTCAGACTAAATCTGTCAATTGTGTTTGAAGACGTCTTGAAAATGTTTTTGTTTTTTTTCAGGAATTGAGGGAAAATATTTCAGATTTCTGCTTGCGAGTGATGCATTTTTAAAGACTTAACACGTCTTAAATGTGCGCTTTAGACTTGGAAGTTAAAGAAATTAGTTTATAGAGCCTCATCTAAGAGATTTAATGCCAAATTCTTTAAGAACTAGGAGAAAAGATCCCTGATTCTACCTCCAGATGATGTTGATTTGAAATTTTACTGGACTTTAAAGCCCTTTTTTTTAACAAAGTTGGGCAAAACTTGATAAGTTAAACCTCCTCTCCTTGAATCAAATCAAACTGACTCCCCACCATCACCACACAGACTGACACCCACTGAGGCTTCATGACCTTCCTCACCAACACGACCAAACTTCCATAGTTTGAATTAAACTTTATGAAACAAACCAGTCTCTCACCGTCATTGTTCTTGTCAGCGTCATATTTGAGTCCGCAGCCTTTGTTGTAGCACAGCTCAGCCATGTCAGCCTGTTAGGTTCTTCTCTATAAGGTAAGTGGGTCTGATATGTTCCTTCAAAGACCTGCTGGTCTCTCCTGGTCTTAAAGCTGAGGTTGGAACCTCTAGAAGTTTCTCAAGTCGTTCAGGAAGGAGAGATCCAGAAACAGAAGAGAGGGTCTCTCCTCTCTGTCAGAGTCTGTGTGTTTGAGGCCTGGCAGAATGAAAGTTAAAAATAGCCTCTCCCCCGTCCTGCTCTCAGTTTACAGCTGTCAGAACTTATCTGGGTGGGGGGGGGTCGACATTCCTCCTGCTGAGCGTCGGCTGTCACGCCACCGGGCCCGCAGTGACCGGAGAGGACCGCTAACTTCTGGATAACTGTCTGTTATCTCACGTAGGTTTATCTGTCCAGGGCCATGTTGAGGCCGTCTTTGAATTATTCTTATACATGCGATGCTTATCAGGGCAATGACAGGGAGTGCTGTTAGATGGGGCCCCCTTAGGGAGGTATCCTACTGTCGTTGCAAAATTTGCACATTGCCAATGCTGTGGTTTAAAGTTTGTCAGCCCCCTACTGAACAGGAGCCCCCAAGCCGTTGCATGCCTTGCCTATTGACAAACAGCGCCTCTGGTTGGGGGTATAAAGGTAATCACACTTACTCCCACTGCCAGAAAAAAACCAAAAAAACACGTTTGACATTACTTGACTTCTGAACGATGCTAATGCTGGAAGTTAGGCACTAGATTCATGCCATGAGGCCTTTCCTACGACTGGACTGCAGAAATTAGAAGATTTTTGAGGCTTCACTAAAGCTTATTTATCATAATTCCTTGACGTGTACAATCATGTCTAAGATGTTATATCCAAATGTTTGATGGCTATAGTGGATTTGGGTTTAAAGTGGCTTTAACTTCAGACTCAGGTGGTCATTAAAACCCGCCTGAAAGTTCACAGAAATATGTTTAGAGTGTGTATAGCATAGCCGAGTTGAATAGAAAACCCTGTACTCAGTAATTACCTTAAAGTCTCATATTCTCTATGATGGTGGGAAACATTTCCCAGACTAAATACAATCATTTTCAGCTCCTAATAACTGTTTTCCCGACGTTCTGTTGTTATACAGGATCTATATATCTGCTTGTTGTTTCACTTTGACCTGAAGCTCTTTATCTACAAAGACTTCAAACACTGAAGGAGTGTAAAGCTGACTCCCGCTGAGCTCTGAATAATGAAACAGTTTGAGTTTTCTTCGCTCCACAATCACATCCAGAATCCTTCACAGTCCCCAGGTGGTGATTTATTTGATTATATTTCAGTTTTTTTTTTTGACTAAACAGCCCTGGGTGAGAAATATAGCACTCACATTGTGCCGTGTCTGACAAACAGCAGCATTTTGTCTTCAGTGAATAATTCATTGTTGGACCCCTGCAGACGCTGCACGGTAATTTGTCTCAGTGTGTCCAGGATGAAAGATATTTCAGTACAACAACACAATTTGTTAAAAAAAAAAAACTTTTGCTACATGCTGAATTAATCACCTGTTTAACTTTGAAGACTTTTGTAACAACGGCTAGACAAAGTGAAGCAATAAAACACGCTAGGTGTCAAGTTTGAGGAAAATTAGTGGCTAATTCTTCTGAAACTCTGGAAGTAGATGTTTTACAGTTTTACCTATCTCTTTTTATTTTTGGATTGTTTATTATTTTGAGTAATGAGTGTAAGCTTGAGTTTTTTTTGAGAGATTTAAGCGAGATAAAAACAAACCTCAGCTATAAATACGAAGACCGTTAGCTAGCTGTAGCTAAAGACGAAGCTAAAATCAAGCTAGCAGAGCATTTTCCAAACTGTGCCCCCCTGAATCTGGAGTTCTGAGTGAGTGAGAAAAAAAATCAAACAAAGACACCGACCTAGGAATGGAAAATGACTTTTTATTTCTTCCAAAAAAACAAGAGAGAAAAACAGATCCCTAGAATAAACAAATATACTGCTGTAAAATAAAAGCCTGTGATTTGTTTGTCATCTGTAACATTTGTTTGCCTTTCCATGCTCGATACAATCCATATAATTCTGCTTTAAATAAATAGAAAATAAAAATGTACAAAGAGAAACGGGGGTGAGGGGGGGGAGGAGACAGAGAAGAGAGAGAGAGAGAGAGAGACAGATTAAAAGATGTTCTCTGCTCAAAAAACATTTGGCATCATTGAGAATTCATGGCTGGTCCTGATGTACAGGGAGGTCTGCAGCCCCTCGAAATCTGCATCGTCTGTCTGATTAGCCCGTCCCCGCTAGAGAAGTAATCATACCTTTATACTGCTGTAAGAATGCTAACATCTTTCATGTTCAGAAAAATAAAGAGTAAATGCAAAATAACGCAGCTGCGGGTTATGAGAGTATGTCTTTAAGCTCTGTGAGGTGTGTGATGTGTTTCTCTATATATACAGAATAGTGAGGCAGCAATCCGAGGGTTCTTACCAAAAAACACTGATGTAGAAAAAACAGAACGTGCACAAGAGAACCTTTGATTCAACACACTGACTCACTGACAAAAAAAAAACAAAAAACGAGGAGATTAATTCGTTTAAACAGCCTCTCATTTAGTTTCATTTTTCATTCTTTGAGTTTCACCTGCAAGCGCACAAAGCCACCAGCAGATGGCGCCAGAACAGTGAAGGACAAAATCTGTGCTGTGAGTAGCAAATGTGACATCTTTGGGAGAGGTTGTTTTTTTTTGTTTGTTTTTTTTTTTACACAAAAAGTTTTGGCGCTCTGTTTTGCTACGGTGGCTCATTTATCGACAGGCACAAACATCTGTCAAAGATTCAGTCCAGAGACGGATGAACCGGCTGTCGAGAGATCGGTCACAAAGAGTTTGAACCATCGCAGACCTTCGCCTCGTGACAGATGTTCAAAAACAGGGACAACAAGAGGAGAGAATTTATCTTCATCATCACCATCACTGTCATGCGTTTTTTTGGAGAGAACAGGACAACAAACATTGACAACGTTACAACCATGCACTCACTGACCCCAGAAAGAGAGAGAGAGAGACGAGTCTGCTCTCTGAATGTTTGATACACTTGGCCTTAGAAGAGAACATTTTAAAATGACATCAAGGTTCATCCGTGTACTCGTCTCCACCTAAATTCATGCTACAACAATGCAGAGAGAAGTGGTAGCAGCTTTTTAAAGGTTTGCCTGGTTTGTTCCCAAAAGAAGAAAAAAAGGAAGAAAAAAAAACCTGTGGTTGTCCAGGGAAATTCCCAGACATAAATATGAGAAAGAGTCGGAATTTGAGGAAAAGGGAGTCGCCAAAAAAAAAAAAAAAAAGAGGGCCTGCATACTCTGGAAAAAATAAAAATAAAAAATCCCTCCCAGGAGAAATACCGTGACAAAATGACCTACATGATGAAACTGTGATAATTACCGGCAGTTACATCAATGCTAAAGAGATGAGGACACAAGCCAGTAACGTTTATGGGACTCCACAGAAACCACAGCAGCCTCTCTCCATCTGAAGATATCCGACCAAATCACTTGAGACACACGGACAAAGACGACCTCGTTGCAACAGGCAGGATTACCATGCAGAGAAAAAACAAAATGAAAACAAAAAAAACTGATCAAGAAGAAAAATCTCTGTTGTCCGAAAGAAGCAGGAAATGTCTTCAGATGAGAAGAACATCCTGGCACTGACTTCACCGTCCTTCACACCAAAGCCGACACGTTTTGTATTCTAAAGAGGTCATTAAAAAACATCAGGAACGATCACATCTGCAGGTTAAGACCTGATATGATTCATTGTTTTTTTAAGATCCAGGGTGACCATGATCTGATTCTGGATCAGTGCCCACAATGATGGCGTCTCTTTTTCTAAAGTGCCAATTCATCACACAAGATTGGAGACAGTGAGACAGCTGTCCCCGAAAATAAAAGAGCCATAATTAGAAGTCATTTTTGGAGCCAAATCGCCAGATGTCCATTAAGAAAATAGTTGAAGGAGTTTGAATCCAATAGCAGAAAAGGTGTTTGGGTTTCCGGCCCTGAAAGGGGAAGGTTCTGAGGGTTGGAAAGCTCCCTTGACATCTTGTGAGAGTTTATGTTGTCAACAGGTCGGAACAGTTTACTGTTCAATGACACGAGATGTTTTGGCTGAACTCGAGAAAATACTCCAACCAATACATGACCTTACTATCAGGGTAACAAACCAAAGTTCTGGTGATTCGTTTTCTTGGTAATAGCAATTTTTGCTAATAGGATAGAAATCTTAAACATAGTTGTCCGTCAAAGTGACTGGAAGGGCAGACTAAAACTCGTCTCCAAACCAGCGTCCCCCAAACGCTGAACCTGACTCATTCAAGAAATAACAAAACGTTTCCATCCGCTGGCCAATAAAGTCTCTTATGTGTAACCAAACAAACCGTGAAATCCAACTATCTGATTGGCTCTTGGTTTAATAACTTGGAATCCCAATAGTAAAAGGGGACTTAAGAAGAGATGGACTTTAAGGGGACTGAGAAGTCCAATTGAATGACATGAATGTAGAACACAGCCCAGGATAAGGTTTTCTGAAAAAGTTTTGGAGGGACCCAAGTACCAACGTCAAACCATTTGATTCTTTAGAACCAGCTTCCAGAGCTGAAGTTTAGATCAACAACCATTAGTGGATCCCCTTGCTACTTTCCACATTTGGTCTAACTGGATGCATTATACAAACTACCATTGGACAACAGCTGGTTGAAAGTCAAGTCAGTGTTCCCGTTTGAGCAGACAAACCGTCGGGATGCTGCTGAAATCTACAAGCCAATCTTGGAAACACTGGCTGTCATCTGACTAGAATGAACTCTCTGGGAACGATAACCATCGTATCCAGATTTCTGTTGTAGTCAGTGATTGTTTGGAAAGGCAAAAATGATTTCTGGGCGAATGTTTCTTGTTTTGTGGGCTGGTCAATGTTTACAGTCTGACTAGCAACTTCTTCAAACGGATGGTTATCCTTAAGATTCTGTATTCATATACAGGAGTCTTCATAAATATTAGCATTTAGCTAATGTTTCGTTCTAAAACCGTGGTGGGATCCATTGTTCTGTTGGCAGCAAAGTCCCCATTATGTCACAAAAACCTGAATATCCAAGCTATCTGATTCGCTGTCTAGGCTCAACAGTCCAATCAGAGACTGTTTATAGGCTGCTGACATCATAACGAGTTGTGAGGATGGCTGATGTTGTCGAGGAGGAGGAGGGGGGGGGGGGGATGTCGAGGAACTTATCTACCAGACACTGGAGCGATGCTAATAGTGAGAAGAAAGAGCGCACTCGAAGCGAGCGAAGAGCGGACCACAAAGCCTGAGCCCGGGAGCCTCGGAAAGGTTTCGTCTACAGCTAAAAGACAGAGACACCAAGAGAGATAATAGAGCTTTAGTTAAGAGACGTTTTCAGTGGTGAAGACAAGGTGGGAAACCTACTGCAAGAGGATACTACGAGGAAAGGCTAGGCTAACACAAGACTGCAACAAGAAGCATCTAACAGCAATATCTATCCAACAGCAACAGTGATGGGTGGGTGCAGACAATCTAGACAGAAACTTGTTAGTATCACTATTTGTTTTTTACATATCTACACATATCAAACAGTGACGAAGCAGGCTAAAAAGCTTTTTAGAGATAGACCAACTAGACAGAGTTGAGAGGCGAGATTCTAGAGATTTCAATCGGACTATCGTGATGATCGGGATAGAGACACTGGACGGGGGAGGGGTCAGGGAAGGGACTACAAAAAGTTTCAAGTTGTTAGAATGGCAGGAAAATAACTTTGAGTTACCTGCCACAGTGGCTGGTAGATTAGACAAACTTCTTGTTGTAAAAACTGAAATAATTCCCTACAGATCTCTTTCTTAACTTTTTCCCTCGCCAGGTTAACTGGCGACAGCTCCGTTACGGCAGGATAGTCACTTCAGTGCAAAATTTTTGCATGTGCATTTTGCAACAAAATTTGATTTTTTTTTTTACAAAAAACAAACAAGCACATTTTCACGTCAAACTTTCTGGCTCAAATTTTGGCTCGAAATTTGACGCAATTTGACCCTCAGAAAATAGCCCTCAATGGAAAACAAACACATAAATGTGTTAGCACACACGTGAACACACAATAAAAATGCATATGGACACATGTCCCCAACAGTCAAACTCGTGGCGACGGATGCTTTGGCTGAGGAACGGCCTTTGACCTCTTAAAAAAGTCAAATATGATCCCTAAATTAACCTGGAACCAAGGGAGCGAGGGGGATGCCAAAAGTTCATAGTCATTTGGCTTCTCTGCAGACAGAGGTGCACTTAAAGCCACTCTCTTTGATTCAGTGCAATTTAAAGTGAATTCAACTTGATTCAGTAACTTTTTAATCACTCACTCAGTGCTGCTGTCATCAATCACTGGCACATAATATGGACCTCTCTAAAGGGTGGACCTGATGAAAAAGCGCTTTATTTAGAAACCGAAGAGGTCTGAATCCGATTGGTGAGCTGATGAGGACATGAAGAACAGATACACACAAGGTCAACCAGGGGCTAACAGGCAGTTAGCGGGCTAATTACACTTCAAGCACGCTGCTGACTCTTTAACACGATGATAAACTCGGGGCAAAAAAAATATGGGGCAAAATGTATTTGGGCAAATTATCTTTTCAGTAGTCCAACTTTGGTTAACTCCATCTGACTGCTCTTAACTTGGGTCACACGGAGAGCTAAGAATGGACAAAGCTAGCTTACTAGCTAAGAAGCCCCTTGCAGTTGTATCTCACCTCTTTGGAGCATAAATGGCTCAACAAATGAGGAATGGTTTGTAGAAACAAAGTATGTGTGAACATATTGTCCTGTTAGCTACCAAAACTAAAAATACATCTTATTTAGCATGCTAGTTAGAACACTAGCTAGCTAAAATACTTTCACTCCCTCCTTTTAATAACTCTGTTTTAACTTAAATGTACAATCTTGAGAAGAGAGTGCCATATATGACACAGTGAAAAGAAAACAGAGAGAAGTTCAGACTGACTAGCCAAGCATGTCCTTGGCAGGCTAGCTTAACAGCTACAGTAGTTTAGCTAGCGTCAGAGGTCGTCACTGCATTAGCGTTCTTCTAAAAACTATACGTTTCTTAAAAACACATGGTTGACTTTCACCGTACCAATTCGTGTTGTGACCAGGTCTTGAGAAAAATATCCCAAATGTTGTTTTGAATCCAATTTAGACGACTTTGTAGCTTGCTAGCATTGTTAGCGTTTAACCCTGTTTTTCCCTGTGTGTACTTGTAGCTTCGGGAGAAGAAAAAAACGCAGTATGAGTAACAAAGACTTTAACTCTTAACAACAAACGCTCAACTACTATCAACAAATGGTTTAACAAATCGCTGTACAAGCCCCGCAAACATTCAGGAGAGGCGGCAGAAGAAAACAGATCGAAAAATACAAAGATATCCCAAAAGAGGGGAAAACCGCGGGAAACACACTTGAGACGTTTTGGATAATGTCTCGTTGATTGGACAATTGTGGACGCAGGTGGCAAACGAAGGGGGAGGTCGGTTGTCTGAAACAACTGCTGTTCATTTCTTTACAGTACACACTCACGCACATTAAACACTTGTCCCCCTATATGACCTCCCGATGTGCCGTTGCAGGCGGACGGTGAGCCGAAGGGGACAAAATAGCACCAGTTTGAAATAAAGCTAATTCTGCAGCAGAACTCTAACAAGCTAAACCAGAGGTATGATCCCCTCTTCCTCCGTCATCCTCCCTCTTATCTTTCTCTCTCGTCTGTATTCAGTCTTCTGAATCATCACTCCATCGATAGGATTTAAAAACTTATCAAACAGAAAGTAGCAACACAGGCACACATGCGCACACACACACACACACACACACACACACACACACACACACACACACACACACACACACACACACACACACACACAGGCAAGAAGTTGTTTCAGACAACGACCAGTAAAGATGACCTCTTCCCCGCCCTCCGCCCCCTGCTCCGCTCTTCGGTCTTCTTCTCCTCTTTCCGCTGTTTTTGGTGTTGGTTGGTTATCTTGACTGTCACTTAGTCATTTTAGTTTGATTAAATCCTCCCTCCGTCCGTCCGTCTGATCGTTCCTCTTGTGTGTTTTCTTCTTCTGTGTGTTTGTTTGTTTGTCGCTTTTGGCACTCTGCTTCCCCCCCTGACTGGATTACATAAACTGCATCTGAATCAACAGGAGAAAAAAAAAGAAAGAGTTTATAGTCATCATTTTATCAATGCATTTAAAATGACTTTGGAGTGATTGGAGGAATTTACAGACACTCAAACAACAAGCTAAACAACATATAAACAAACCAAGTTCCAATATTTCCAGACTCTACTTTCTTTTCTCTTGAATAACTGAAAATTTAAACCTCCTCAGGCTTTTGAAAAACATTCAAATGAATAAGAAATCAATACTTTGGTAGTCTTGTTGGTTCTTAGAGGGTTATGGAGGGTTATGAAGGGTTTTGTAGGTGATGATGAGGAGTTTGAAGTGGATGGAGATCCATTGGGGGTCATGAAGGACGGGGGTGATGTGGTCACTGGTGCGGGAGTGATGTGGTCACGAGCAGTGGAGTTTTGGATGATGAACCGTAGATGAGACTGTTGCAGTAGTCTAGCTGTCATGTTGTACTTTTTCTTTTAAAATACATTTTAGGAAGTAATCATAACTGTAACATTTTATACACTCAACAATCTGAGCGTTTTCTCTTGAGCATAACTCAAAGAACATGCCACCGACACACCTTGGTTACCAATCACAAAGACACAATCACTTGTACAGTAATAGATCAAAATATGAAAGACGTTGAACTCTTCATTACCTTTTCAGTAGCAAAGGTATCGTTTTGTGTGTATGAAGTCACAAATACAGGATAGCTGACCTGGGCTCCCGGCATGGGTGCGAAGGGGTTGGTGGGTCTGAGAACAGGCTGGTTATACATCATTGGCTGAGGAGCCATCATCGGTACCCCGCCCATCTGACCCATCTGGGGAGGGACCTGGACACAGACACAGACACAAGTAAGGGATTGAGAGAGTCAGACTCCGGTGACTGGGATTCATCAACATGTTTTTAATTACAATGATAATCTACAAATTCATCACAAGAGAAAACTAATAGGTGCAGCGTTTTTGTGTTTCTGTGTTATGACTAGAGCCCGACCGATAAATGGGGCAGCCGATAATATCGGCCGATATTAGCATATCCAGTGGCTATCGGTATCGGCTAATTTGATCGCCGATATCACTAAATTTATTCACCAGTCAAATAACATTTCATTTGAGTTTCATTGTATTAAACTAGCAGTTCTCTTTCACCAGCAGAGGGCGCTATATTGATTACAGCGAGCATCATCACTCTCCAGAGCTACAAGCAGTGATGCGCATACTTGCAGAGTTACTTTCCAGTTGAGTGACCATCTTGTCTTTGTTATAAATCTTTACCACAAGTGTTTGATGACTGCATTTGTGGGATTAAGGCAATTAATGCGTACGTCTACAGATTATTTATATTTACCTCTACAGATCTCAGAAAGATATTGGCCAATATGTGTGTCGGATTTGTTCTCTCCCTAATATCGGTATCTGTCCGGCCCTAGTTTTGACTGTATGGACAGTCAGCTCATTATTTTCACTCACCATTCCATACACAGGCACTTGCGGTGTGGTCATGGGAAAAGCCATGGGGGCTGGAGCCTAGAGGAGAAACAAAATCCATTATCAACTAAAACCAGAACCTGAGTCCAACATATGATGTAAAGCCTGTAAATGTGAAAAAGTGTAACAGACTTCAGTAAATACCAGAAAATCAGACTGTGTTCTTCTCTTTCCTCTGACTAACATCTCATCTGTCTCCATTAGTCATGTCTGACTCAGAACATGATAAATAAAGCACACACAGTGTAATCCATGTGTGAGGAGAATACATTTAATACTGATAAAGTGTGTGCACATTAGGAGCGCGGCAGCCCAGCATGCAGCAGAGGTACTTAGTGGAGTCCCGCTGGGAGCGATCATTACGGAGGCTTTAAAAGAGGAGGCTCAGTAGGACGGTGTTCAGACCTGCCCTCCTCACTCCACAAATCAAATCCACTACGCCTGAACGGGCCTCCGATTCAACGTGACGGGCAATTTGTTGCCATCGTTTACAACCCACGCACATCCTCCTCAAAGGAAAGCAGCAGATTTTTGCTGGAGACGTCGGCAAATTTATGAGAGTGAAGTGTCAGCGCTGCATTACAGTGTGGTGTCAGTGAACGTCTCACGGGGAAATCAGTTTACAAGATTAGAAGAGGAGACATCAAGACGGGAAATTCTTCCTCTACAGTGAGCATCTGTAACATGCAAAAGATTTTATTGAGACAGATGCTAAGATGAGTCACATTCAGCGGACACTACTGCTTCTAATTATTGACTTTATGTGTTTCAGACAAATCCACAGCTATGATGATGTGGACATAATGTTAAGAGAAAAAATGTTCAGATCTCAGAGACTTTAAACATGGTGCTGCCAAAGAATGCCACCTGTACCATTGTCAGATCATGACGTTTGTACCCTGTTATGTATAACCCTAAGCACTTGTGTTTTAAAGTGTGAGAAACCAAACAAAAGCTGACACACACAGCTGTACTAAATACGTTTTGAAGTACACAGCACCTAAATCAAGGACGTAGACTGATGGACGTCACCCATTGGTTTCTGAAGCGGCATTTTGAGGCCCATAAATGGTGGTGTTCATATTGGAAAAGCTTTCTAATCATAAATTTGGATCAATTTGGAAACAGGCAAAGAGCTACAACACGCCACCTGTCGGTCAAATCTCATGGTTCTATTCATGCTAATTTATGAATACCTCTTATCCTTAATAAGATAAAAACAAGTGAGTTATAAAAATGTCAACCTCCATATTTTTTTTCCCCCCAAAATATAAATGAGCTATCGAGACAAAATTCATATTTTCTACGAGCTGTAAATGTGTTTATTTTTGCGGTAAAAATGTACATTGTAATATAGGTCTTAAAGGGGATTCCTTGGCTTTTGGACACAGCCTCAAGTGGACACTTGAGGAATTGCATCTATGTGCACTCCGTCACTGGCTTCTTAGCGAAGGTTTTCCACTTATTTTCATAACTCGCTGTAGTATTGAAACTTCTTAAAGTATCGTCACCTCACTAAGCATCAGGAGCTCATGAAAAAGGTTTCCATGGCCGATCATCTTCTCTTAACTAAGAGCCATCATGTCATCAATGTGTTCAATAAATCATTCAAATCAGCTTTCAGAAACACCCTGCTGCCTTCACTGACCCGATCAAACATCGTCATTGAAACAATCAAAGGCCTTTTTACACCTCAGTCATTGTGGATGTTTTAAAGGTACTACGCCTCAGCCTGAGTTTCTCTGGCTGTGTTACAGTAACAGTAATGGTGCACCTAAATGAAAAAGGTTCAATATTTCCATTAAAGGTAGTAATTAACTGTGAGAAATCATAAATTACCTCAGCAGTCTTAGGCACAATGATTCATTACACTAATCAGGCAGTGCAAAGAGGACGTCTAACCTTTTTAGCATTATCCTTTAATTGCTACTTATTTAATAATGCATTAATCAACGCTTTGAACAAATAACATGTTACACTGCTAATTTAATAAGGAGTCTAAAGGTTCAGTGTTTTCAGATGGGTTAAAATCTGTGTTTGTGCAGAGAGGCAACGTTCATTTTCACCTTTAATACAAAATGCTGTTCTTGCATACAGATTGTAAACCAATGAGTCCAGTGGTTCAAACCAATGAGTCCAGTGGTTCAAAGCAATGAGTCCAGTGGTTCAAAGCAATGAGTCCAATGGTTCAAACCAATAAGTCCAATGGTTCAAACCATTAAGCCCAGTGGTTCAAAGCAATGAGTCCAATGGTTCAAACCATTAAGCCCAGTGGTTCAAACCAATGAGTCCAGTGGTTCAAAGCAATGAGTCCAGTGGTTCAAAGCAATGAGTCCAATGGTTCAAACCAATAAGTCCAATGGTTCAATCCATTAAGCCCAGTGGTTCAAAGCAATGAGTCCAATGGTTCAAACCATTAAGCCCAGTGGTTCAAACCAATGTCCAATGGTTCAAAGCAATGAGTCCAATGGTTCAAAGCAATAAGCCCAATGGTTCAAACCACTGAGTCCAATGGTTCAAAGCAATAAGCCCAATGGTTCAAACCAATGAGTCCAATGGTTCAAACCATTAAGTCCAATGGTTCAAACCATTAAGTCCAATGGTTTAAACCATTAAGTCCAATGGTTCAAACCAATAAGTCCAATGGTTCAAACAATTAAGCCCAATGGTTCAAACCAATGTGTCCAATGGTTCAAACCATTAAGCCCAATGGTTTAAACCATTAAGTCCAATGGTTCAAACCAATAAGTCCAATGGTTCAAACCATTAAGCCCAATGGTTTAAACCATTAAGTCCAATGGTTCAAACCAATGAGTCCAATGGTTCAAACCATTAAGTCCAATGGTTCAAACCAATGAGTCCAATGGTTCAAACCATTAAGCCAATGGTTCAAACCAATGAGTCCAATGGTTCAAACCATGAAGTCCAATGGTTCAAACCAATAAGTCCAATGGTTCAAACCAATGAGTCCAATGGTTCAAACCATTAAGTTCAATGGTTCAGTCCTCAGAGTGCAGACACATCATGAAAGCACGATGAGTTTGAATGAATGCGATAAAGTGTTTCTAAAATTACAACTCTTTAAATACTGGTTCAATACTTGATTCTTAAGTAGTATTTCTTCTGGTATACTGGTAATTCCTCCCAGTGTAATCTTTAAAAAATGAGCATCTTAGACTGGTGAAAGTTCAACTAAGAAACTTTAAAATAAAACAGCTCATCATGAAGGAAACTTGGAAACAAGAGGACATGAAGTGGTTCTGATAAGGGATTCTAAAGGCTTCTGAAGGTTTCCGGGTGAGTCAGGAGAACTGATCGATGCGATTGATCTGGCATCGTCTTTTCATGGCTGCCTCCAGGGATCAGGCGGTGAGAAGGGATCATAATCATGGATCAACCTGATCTGTATTTTGCTGCCAAAGACGGAAGAGGAGAATCCAATCCCAATGACTCGACTGAGTGCAAGACAGCTCGACTTACCGCTTTTAGTTTTTGAAATCCTTCTTAAAGATTTATCCATTTTATTGTAATGTGCACCTGAGTCTCTCTTGAGTTAACAGACATCTCAATCTGAGTTTGTTATTTGGTCTGGTTGTGCAAAATGACGGGGGGTAGCGCTGTATTTGATTTCCATAGAATGACAATCTGTGAGCAGGTGACACAGTTTCCGCACCACTTCTTCTTCGTCGACGTTTTTGTCCGTCTGTCTCTCAGCCCAGCTGTTTGCTCTCCATACATCATGTTTAACATCCATCAGTCTGTCTCTTATCTCTGTGTTTATGCTCCATACGTCTTCTCTGTCTGTCTCTCGGGTACCTCCTCCCCTCCTCGTCAGTGCATCAACGTCCTCTCCTTCTTCCCCTACATCTGTAATCCCGACTTTAAGCGATATCTGTCTGAACTTTTGCTCTTCCCATCGCCGTCTCCCTCTCAAGTCGACTCTCCTCTTCTTTTTTTTTTTTGCTCTGAGTTCTGATCTTCTTTGCGACCTGCATGTTGCGGTAAAGGTTAAATAAGTGAAACATCTTGGCAGGATTTCTGGCTGGCATTTTGAAGCATCGCTCGAGTGCGGAGTGTTTGCAGCCTTGCCCTTCTGGCGAGAGTCTCAGATGTTGTACTTATCATTCCTGATGCACGACAGCTCTGTTACCGGGGACGTCTCATACATCACTGCTGCATGCTGCTGGAAAGCGATGTGTGTGTGTGTGTGACATCTTCTATCGAGGTTATGTTATCTGCTTGTTGTGCACAGTCTGAGTTCATATATTTCTTCTTAGGGACTAAAAGAAGCAGCTTCATGAATACCCTCCTCTCTGTAAGTGGATATTTGTCTTTGTGTTTTCTTGTTTTTGAAGGCAGAGTTCTCTTCACTGCTGACCAACACTCAAAGAATATTTAACCTTTGACTCGTGCTAAAGCATTTTAATTTGTTTTTCTGGCTGAACAATGACTTTATATTTCTGTTACTGTGTCTATGGATTAATCCTCACAAACAGATGTCTGAGTCAGGGAGACGAGGGTCAACAAAGAAAGCAGCCAATCACACGTCCCCAATTAGATGTCGCTTTAAAGTCTTTCAGATAAGACTCTATAGAGGAATTAAAAGTTGTATTTTGTGTGACAGGATTGAAAAATGTGTTGTTTTTTTCATTCTTATTGTAAACAAATCTTATTTTAAACAAGGCGTTTAACTAAAAATCTTTCGTTAAAGATAAATCTTTAGGGTCTTTTCTTTGTACCGGTTGATTTCCTGAGCAGTCTGTTCATGTGCATCCTGGTATTTTTATCTACAGACTGAATGTGTCAAACTTTTCTAAACTTTGAGACTTTTTGATGCCACACGTACCTCCTCTGTTTTTGACTTCATGAACTTCTAGTCTTAACTCTACATAAAAGGCATAAAAAGTATTGAGAGAATCAGGAGTTTCTTTAAACAGCAGGGCGTTCTAACTTCGTCTTTTTGGTTCTTTTTTGAGTATTTAAAGCAGCAGGACTGTGTACAGTGTACAGTTGACTGAAAAAGTAACTACAGTGTATGTGTGTCAGTCTCTGTGTGTGTGTGTGTGTGTGTGTGTGTGTGAACTGTTTTGTAATGAGAAACTTGTCACCCGTGGCCAAAAGTAGGGGTCACTCTTTTGAGGCACTTTTAATCGTTTTTGGACAAATATGGAGGTCAACAGCTCTGAGTAATCCACAGAGAAGACTTTGTTCAACTCGCTTTCAAAAATCTGATAGAGGAAAACGTTACTACCCAGAGAGATAACCTTTTTTAAAACACCTCAACGCAGACCGACAGAAAACTCAAAAGAACTAAGAGGTGACGGGATCTTTTCAGAAAGAAAAAAGAAAGAAAGAAAGAAAGCGAGAGAGGAAGAGGTGACAGAGAAGCATGTTAGGTTTACTAAACAGGGATAAAGTACTTACATAACTAGTATAGAACATTCCATTCTGCATCAGGACGCAACGAGGAGAAGAGACAAGAGACAGGGAAGAAGAAGAAGGACAGAGAGAGAGAGAGAGGGAGGAAGAGGAAATTCAAGAAAATGGAGGAGATGATGAAAGATGGGAGCAAAAAAAGGTAAGAGGAGGAGAAGGTAAGAGAGAGGAGGGAGAGGAAAGTAAAGATGAGAGAGAGAGGAGAACAAAAACGACGAGGAAGAATGAGAACAGAGGTTTAAAACATGTTGAGACAATGAGGCGAAGGAATGAGAGAAAGTAAGAAGAAGGTAGGTCATAAAAAGTGACAGGAAAGTTAGAAATCCAGTGGAAGCAAAGACGGGACACCCAAGAGAAACAAGTGAAGGAAACAGAAGACAGGAAATGAAGGGTCAAAACACGGACATGTCAGAGACAGTGAGGAGAAAAACAGGACGCGTAGATGACAACGCAAAACAGAACAAACAGATGAAGAAGAAAAAAAAGGAAAAAGGGAAGGAAGATGAGTGGATGACAGTGCAAAAACATGTAAGATGAGGAGGGGGGGGCAGGAAAGGAGAGAGGAGAACAGCAGAGAAGCAACAGGAGAGAGAGAGACAGAGAAAAAAAGCAGTGAGAGACATTTGGGAGGGAAAAGAGGAAGAGAGAGGAAGCGGAGGGTTAGTGACAGTTTGTCCTCGTCAGCCAGAAAACGCTGTCCAGAGATCAGGAGGACGATCAGGAGCTGCCAAGATCAGCACACACACACACACACACAAAATACACACAACACACACACACAAACTGCATGCACAGGCAGCAAAATTCTGCACCGAGTCAAAACGCTCACGTTCCCGTTTTCTTCTCCTGATACAAAAGACAACAACTGAAGGAAACATCCACATGCACACAGACGACATTCAGAGTGTGGAGACCATTTAGATTCTGTGTTCGATTAGCAAGATGTCTGCAAGTTATTTCAGATGCATTTTAATACGTCAGAATTATTTTTTTTTTTTCTTTGTAGTGACTTGTTTTTGTTTTTATCTTTAAAGTAATCCTGAAAAACCCTTTCAAGTGTGTTTCGTCCAATTTCAGATGAAGAGTTTAGATGAGAGGATTGAAACCACCCTCATGTAGCTTTGGTAGCATTTTTTAGCTAGCTTTATGCTAAGCTATTGGTTCTCAAACTATTTCCGTCATGCCCAATCCCGTCCCAATTTTACAAATAATTACCAACACAGTGAGAACTACCAATACAGAAATAGTTGAGTTACCACGCCCCACCTCTACAGTGACTCCACCCCCTTATGCTAAGCTAACTCCTGGCTACTGTCAGGAAACAGTCCTCCACATGAGTACAGTACCATTAGAAGTAAGATTATTTAAAAAAAGGACATTATATTTAAATTGCTAAGCTAATTTAAGCTTTGCTAACCAAACCCTAGAAATGGTCCTGTGTTTGTTCTACGTGAATAAAGAACTTTTGCCCAAATTAAAAATGGAATAGATGAGACTTTACATATTAGTACTTTAGCTTTGGAGGTGCTGGTCAGCAGATTTTAATCCTGCACTGAACCAAACTAAATTAACGTGCAAAGCTAAGCTAACCATTAGCTGAAAGTGACTTAATCTTTAATGGACAGATCTGAGCGTGTTATAGATCTCTCTCCATGGAAAAATTTGCTTATTTTTAGTTTACAGTTTGCCTAATAATGGCTTTCAATTGTGATGTAACGTAGCGCTCAGAAGAGCCGTACTCGCAGCAGTTTCTAAGACGTCTGAAGGACTCACAGACATCTTGACCGAGGGTTCATTTAGCTCCATTACAACCTGTTACTCTTTTTTTATATAATTTACGTCATTATTTGTTCAATTTCATGACAGCAGCATTGTTCTAACTCACATTACTAAGATGATAGAGAAGTCAACATTTTATCCAGATGATCTAAAGAGGTTTACTTTTAAGAAAAGTGAAAGGTCGTTAGAATGAACTTCACAGGTAAACTGTGGTGAAGAACTGAAGGACCAAGACGACCATCTTATCTGTTTGAGCTTCTTGATCCATCAAAAGTATAATAAATTTAGATAAGCAATCAAAAGAGTTTAACAATAATGACTTAAACTATAAAATTAGATCCAAGTTGTAATGAGCAGGAAGTATCCTTCAGGACTTTAGGCCGGACTTTCAGGCCCCTTGATGAACCGACCCCCCCCCCCCCGCTGTGTGTTTTTAAGTCCTTACCACGTGTTGTACAGGCATAGGCTGCGGGGCCATGGGCGCGGGGCCCCACTGTGTGGTCGACATGGTCTTAGTCTGCCAGTTATGGCCCCCCGTCAGCTTCTTCTCCCCGGACTGGCTCCACTGCATCTCTGGCCTGGAGTAGGGGGGGGGGAGCAGAGCAACAAAACAAGCCAGCTGTCAGACTTCAATCTGCATATTCAATCTCCAAACACAAAGTCCATTTCTCACCGAAAACATGCTTCAGAAGAAAAGTAAAAACATCGAAGGCTTTTTTTAAACTTGTGGATTCCTCTTTCCACCGCTCTCTAGTTTTTATATTCTCTGTGAGGTGCTTCATGAATTTTAAAGAGCAGCTAAAGTCAAAGTACTGCAGGAAAATGTCTCTCTCGCTTCCAACACTCTACACCAGCCGTTTCTCACAAACCTGGGCAGCAACAAAAAAAACATTTAATACTTCATAATTAATTGGATTTTGACTCTAAGCAGTTAAAAGTTATGTGCTGGCAGACTGTAGGTAGGGACGCCTGGCAGGCGGGCGGGCGTGTTTGTTTTGCCATTGGATAAATCCTCCGGCCCAGACTGCAAACACAACAAGGTGTCATCTCAACTCAAGACACTTACTTCTTGGCCGGGGTCCCACCGAACTGCAGATCTGAGGAGGGACGGAAAGAGAGAAAATGAGTCATCATAGTTCAGAAAGGATGAATTAAAAACAGGGAAGCAGGTGTTTTAGCCTTAGGTGGAGTTCTCCCTCCCCTTTGTTGTCTTACATAATCGTTTGTGCAGATTTTTTAACTGATTTTTTATCAAAATGTTGAAAGCTTCTGAAATAAAGGCAGACGCCAAACAAGCTGGTGATATATTATTGTTGGAAAAAAGCATAAGGTGCCTTGTGAAAGCTTAAACCATGAGATAAAAATGTATTTTAGTGTTGTAAAAATAGCAGAAATAGCACGCTGTTAATCAGTTAAAGTAATAAAAGGAAATATCTGAATGTTCTTATGATAGCCAGGCGTTTCACCAGTTAAAATACTGCTTTACAGATACTTTAAGTTCTTCAGCTGTGAGTTTGTGTTTCATGTGTTCATCTTGACACTCACTGCCCACGAGGTTGGCCAGAGAGGAGTCGAGGTCGTTGGCTAGCAGCTTTCCTCCGGGATGGATGGCCATTTGAGGAGGAGGAGGTGCAGAGTGCGTGGGAATCGTGGGCTTCAACAGGTCGCCAAGAGCATCGAAACCTGAACGAGAAGCAAAACTTAAACATGAGCTGAAAAAGAAAACTACACGGCTCTGGATAAGGAAAGCGCCTACAGACAGAAGTAAACACTGAGTGGTTAGCACACGGACAAGACGAGGAGGTTAGCACAAAGATATGTTATGATAACCATGAGATCTGGAGTTAAGAAAAAGCAGAACAATTTAAATCTATTGGAGAAATACAGAATTGACAGTAAGTGAAACCCCTCCCCCGAACAGCAATAATCCAACAATATCTTAGCAACTGTATCTAGATATTGAAGGTTGAATGAGGTGTGAGCTGCAAAGATTGAGGTCACTTCAACATTAGAGCAAAAAATGCATTCAACAGTGTCTGTGTTCGTTTAATATCAGAGGCCAATGCTAACCAGCAAGCTAGCTAGTAAAGTAACGTAGCTCTACAGAGAAGGGAAACGATCATTTAATAATAAGTCAGTAACATTTAATGGGGTTTTATGTCTCATTATAAAAGTATGTTTTAGTAGTTTAACGATAATTATAGCACTAAAGACAACGTCACAATGTAAGAACACATTTTGAATAATTGAATAATTCCTGTGTGAAGATATGTTGCTTGGTAGTCGTGGTAACAGTGATTAGCGGGCCTTAGTGTTAGCGCGACCAATCAAACAGCAAACTTTTGAAAAATAGTGAAAGAAAGCTCCAGGAAAGTTAAACACCTGAATTCAAATTATCCATGAAAATATATTCAATGTGGATTTGAATGATAATGAACTTAACTTTCAGCTTCATGCTATGCTACATGACGACTTTAATCAAGCGGCTCTCGACTGTTTTTGATCCGAGAACATTGCCGAGTTGTACATTTTTAATGCGAATTCCGCTAACTGAGTTATTACTGCTCTATTTTTAGCGTTTCACCTCCACTGCATGGACAGAGAGTAAAGCAGACGCACTCTCTGCAGACTGTCGTGCAGCAGCCTCATTCTATCAGCAGCAGACTGTAATCCCTGACTCAGACGCTCGCAGCTCTTGTTCTCGAGGTGATTGATTCATCTGTTGGTAGCTCTCGTGTATTAAACTCTTAAAAACACAGCACTGTGGGAGTTTAAGAGTGGAAACTGACCGTCACCAGGTGGAAAAGATGGTCATCTCCTGTTTGTTTTATGTGAGAGTGCTCGTGTTAACGGTTTTACAGTGTCAGCGCTCGTTCAGCTAATGGCTCAGTTTGACTCTGCAGGAGGTGTGACTGTGTCGTTATGTTTGTATTTGTGTGTATTTGGGCCGAGGTGGTTAGCAACAGAGACTTAATAAAGGTGGTCAGGTTTCTGTTCTTAAGTCTTACCCGGCACAAAGTCTCATTTCTAATCGTTGCTTTTTTTAATTAGGACTTGTTTTTTAACTTTGATGAATGAGCTGAAGTTTCAGGAACATCTTTATTTCAGATTCATGTGCGTTGCACTCCTACGCCCTTAATGTAGTCTGACTGAAAGAGACAATCACACAGAGAAAAGAACATTTCTGAGCGAATCCTTCTGAGCATTTCCACTGTTACACTTTTACAGCTCGATCAATTAAATTGTAGAGAATAAATGACTCTGAAAAGATTTCTAAAGCAAAACATTTTCTCTTTTACTTCAGGGAGGACATTTGAATAGTACGGAGTCCCTGAAGTCCCCAAAAGAGACTTTTTTTTTCACTTTTTGGGACTTCAGGGACGCCGTACTAATGACACGTCTTCACCACACACGTTATTATAATATAATATAATAACGTGTGACTTTTAGATTCAGATTTTTGAGCATTATTTAAACATCTTATATTTGTGTTTCTTTATTTAATCCAGTGATCATGAGAGGCTGACATAGCAAAACATGGAGTCAAGAGGCAGAGAGGAAATGTAGAAACAAAACAAATGTGCTGTACGTCTACAACTACTGTAGACCTACAGCGGACCTATTTAAACACAGAGGAGGAGGAGGAGGAGGAGGAGGAGGAGGAGGAAAGAGAGAAAAAGAAAGAGAAGCAGCTGATGTTGGGAAAAAAAGAGGGAGGAATAATATTTAGTTAGGAAGCTGTGTGTAGGTCTGACAGCGGTGCTGACACAAGAGATTCAGAAAACACTTTTCCTGCTAGCCAAGCAGATGAGGAGGGGGGGGGGGGGACGAGCCAGAGGAGCAGAGGCAAAGAAAGAGAAAGTTCAAGAGAGAGAATAAGCAAACGAGAAAACTGTGTCCACTCTCTTTTGAATTCTCTCCACTTTTTAAAAATGTCTCCCCCCCCATTGTCCAAAGTTTTCTTGTCGCTGTGAGAAAACAAGTCGGGCGATGTGGGTGATTTCTTTTTTGTTTCTTAACCCGGCGTGTCAGTAAATCCCAGTGAATTAAATCGAATCAAGAGAGCGAGAGACGAAAGGAGGAGATAAAAAGAGGAAGTGGGGGGGGGGGAAGAAAAACAAGCTCCATCAGTAGATCACACACACAGCAGAAGAAGAAAAGAGGGAGTTGGAGGAGGAGATGGAGCGAGCTCTGAGAGTGCTATTGAACAGGGAGGATAATGCTATCAGTGTTAGCTTAGGTGTTTCAGCGGAGGACTCGACAGTCAACAGAGTTTAAGATCTAAGGAGAGGAAGAGAGTCAATCCATGTCGGGGGTTCAATTAAAATAAAAAACGACTGAACGGGAGAAACATGTTAGTATCTACTCAATGACAGACGCGTTTTTAAAGGCGGGATCATCAGACACAGAAGAGGAAACGCTACAGGAATGTATCTATTGGCTAAAGTAACGACTTCTTGTGACGCTGAGTTTAAAAAAAACAGCATTAGCTCCAGTAACAACCTGACAGATGTCAAATATATTAGTCCTGTCCAGAGTACGATTCAACAACAGCACTGCTCCACATACACACACACAGCGCTGCACTCCCCTGCTGGCTCCACTGATCCTGTCTCGCCCCTGTAACGTCCTCTGTCACTACCAGAGGAAAGAGGGGGGATCACTTTGCCCTCCCTTATTAAGCCTCCTTGACATTCAGAGTGAAGAGATCTAACATTAAACTTTCTAAATAAATATAATTAAATAAAGGATGTAGAGGAGGGAGCTGCGAGACAGAATAGACAGTTTCATCCTATGGAGTGGACACCAGGTCTTAAAAACTGACACTGAATCTGCTGAACGTCCCAACAGAAGACTGAGTCATTGAGCATGAAGACACAACTCGAGGCATGTACAGGAATGTAAAGAGCGAGTGGAATTAATCCATCAGCCATAGATCTCAGATGTCGATCTTAAAGAGATAAAAAAAAAAAGAAGTAGATGAAAAGCTTTTCTTTAAGAGGCTGTAAACATATCTGGGCTCTGTGCCCGGGTGGCCGAGAGTTTATGAGTGGGAAACTTAAGTTAGTTCCTGAAACACTGAAATCTGAAATTCCACATAGAAAAGGTACCCAGGACCGGTTAGTTTATGAGTAAGGACATTTCAAATAAAATCAGAATCTGTGTGGAGAAAAGTAATTAGAAAGAACAAAGTCAAATATCCATGATGGGAAATTAAAACTCCACAAAAACATTTAAGTTTCAGCGCCGTGAAAATGAATCGTGCTCGACCTTCAAAGAAACAAATCATGATTTAAAAAGGAGCTACTTCGCTCTAAACTCTGCTGAGGAGGAGAGGAGAGGAGGAAGAGGAGAGGAGAGGAGAGAGGAGAGGAGAGGAGAGGAGGAGAGGAGAAGGGGAGGAAGAGAAGAGAAGGAAGAAGAGAGGAGGAAGAGGAGAGGAGAGGAGAGAGGAGAGGAGAAGGAGAGGAGAGGAGGAGAGAGGAGAGAGGAGGAGAGGAGAGGAGAGGAGAGGAGGAGGAGGAAGGAAGAGAAGACGAGGAAGAGGAGAGGAGGAGGAGTGGAGAAGAGGAGAGGAGAGAGGAGGAGAGGGAGGAGGAGGAGGAAGAGAGGGAGGAGGAGGAGGAGGAGAGGAGGAAGAGGAAGAGGAGAGAGGAAGGAGAAGGAGAGGAGAGGAGAGGAGAGGGAGAGGGGAGGGAGGAGGGAGGAGAGAGGGAGGGGAGGAGAGGAGAGGAGGAGGAGAGGAGAGGAGAGGAGAGGAGGGAGGAGAGAGAGGAGAAGGAGAGGAGAGGAGGTAAGAGAGGGAGGAGGAGGAGAGGAGGAGGGAGAGGAGGAGAGGAGGAAGAGGAGAGAGAGGAGAGGAGGAGGAGGAGAGAAGGAGGAGGAGAGGAGGAGGAAGAGAAGAGAGGAGAGGAGTGGAGGAGAGGAGGAGGAGGAAGAGAGGAGGAGGAGGAGGAGGAGGAGAGAAGAGGAGGGGAGGAGGAGGAGTTGAGCAGATGGAAAGGAGTTGCCTGGGTGATTGTTGCCTTGTGAAGTGTGATGGGAAGACGATGAGGCAGATGAAATAAATGGAGGAGGAGGAGGAGGAGGAGGAGGAGGAGGGAATGGTGTGAACAACAACAAACACAAAACAGACGAACAGAAGTGGACAGATGGGACGGAGGTAAAATGACAGACGAGGTGCGAACAGTCGCAGACGTGGACACACACACAGAAACAAACACACACACACACACAGAAACAAACAGAAACTAACACACACACACACACACACACACACACACACACACACACACACACAGATTATGTGAGATGCTGCCAGTAGCCCCAGATGGTGTATTGGTAGTTGTAGTTGCAGCTTCGCCTCAGATAAACTATTAATAGAGGGAATGTTTGTGCGTCCAAAAACAGAGCCAGGCGGCACACCACCAGAGCCGCCAACTGTTAACACCCCGATTGGAGCAGAAGACACGGACGGGGTTAAACGAGATTAGAGAGCGAGCGAGAGCAGCGAGCCCTGAACACAATCTGCACCCTGACATCCTCAACATTTACTCTTCCCCATCGGCAAATGTTTGAGGAAGAAACGATACAGCTGAACAAATACGGCTAATAACGTGTACGAGGATGATAAAGTGATGGAAATACGTCATCAAATTATACGAGACTCTTGTATCCTCCAGAGCCCCCACCCCCCCGATCCGAGTAAGAAGAGGACTTTTAGGATTATTTCAGATTTATGATTCCTGATCTAGCTCAGTGTGATTATACTGTCAAACAAATGAGTCTGAATGAACTGTAAGTGTGAAACCAGTTGGCTTATTAAAGCGGAGGACGTTCCAGTAAAGCTGACTGGTGATCACAGCCCCCTCACTCTGTGTTTTCCAGCCTACATGTGCATGAAGAGCGTCTCACAATAACTGATCGAAAGTATTAATTTCCCAATGATTAATAAAGTTTATAATGTTAAAAATGTAATTGAAAGTAAGAGCCACTTAGAGGTTAGCATCCATGCTAAGTGGCTAGTTCCAACATCCAATTGATCTCTTTTGATTTTGACTTTATTAATCCCCGAGGGAAATTCTGCTTTACACTCACAGTTGTTGAGGGTTCAGTGCCTTGCTAAAGAACACATTGGCTGTACTCAGGACGTTGCCTGTCACCAATTTCCATATTTTTGTCCGCATCTGGACTTTAACCTGCGACCGTCCGGTTCCCAATCCCCTACAAACTGAGCTACTGCCTTCTCTTCTGGTTCGACATGATACAGGAGTTTGGAATATTTATTTTTTGTGATAGTGGCAGCCATCTTGGATGTGAAAAAAAAAAAAAAAAGATAGCCTCGACGTTGCAGCTTCGTCCATTCATTGTATCCGACTCAGCCGTGATGAGCTGTCAGAGCAGAGAGAACAGGAGCTGGCAGATGTGACTGTGTCCCTGCTAAGGTGTATAGTGACTTTAATCTAAAAATAAAACTAGTGCCCACGCTCATCACCAAGAAGGAACACGTTACCAGAGCAGCAGCGCGGCTCGCTCAGGGGTGTCTTGGTAACAATGAACGGCTGTGACACAGAGTTCATCTAAGAAAGGCTACAAAGAAATATGCATAAGGAGGATGAATTGACTGTTGGTTGTTGATTTTTTCAACTATGAGAATAAAAATGATCTACAAATGCCTCCTTTAAACGATTGAAAAGTCAAATTTTTAAGACGCCAAAGTTCCATAACTTCCTGTGAGCTCAGAGAGTTTAAACCCGCTCTTCTCTTTCAACTCCCTCCTCCCTCTGTGATAAAAATAGTCTTCAGATGACCTCTGCAGGTAGTCGCTCTTATCTGCCGTGCCTCCGGAGCTGCCGATAACTCGCAGCGCCTTAAAAATGATATGCTTTGCAGGGGTGTCTGGAGACCCGAAAGGGTTGAGAAGCGCCAAGATTGATTGTGTCAGCTGCTGAGAGGTTAAAAGAAAGTAAGCTAATAAGAGGGCTCGGAGCCAAAGTCCCAGACCTGCAACACTTAAGCCATCAGTCTGAAGCTGTTAGCAGAACAGGCAGCAAAACCACAACAAGAGCACAAGAGAGTGGGGGTGTTCCTCCACACTCTGTATACTCAAGTTTAGTTTTTTTTTTTTACTGGATTTGAACACTGGCTGGAGATTAATCGATATATATCAAAACTGTAAGTGGAATATCTGAAAACTTTCCTTTTGTTTCCAAAGATAAAAAACAAAATGAAGGAAATGAGTGAAAATTTTTGGCATAAAAAGACTCAAAACAAGAATTTAAAGTCTTTTTCCTGGTTTATCAGATTTGAAAATTTCTACAAAAATGATTAAGGCCTTTGAAGGAAGCATAAAAGAAAAGTTGACTTACTGAGTAAAATTAGATCTGGAATGTGTAAACTTTCTGCTTAGTTCAGTAAAAACGAAACTATAAAACAACTGATGTTGAATCCTTCAAAGCCCTAAATTCCTACTTTATGAAACAGCTTGCTTCTATTTTTGGACGGGAATGAACTTGTTGTTTTACAAGGGGGAATTTGGTTTCATTATCTCTTACAACTTGAGAGTGGGCCGGGATATGTTTTCCAATCACCAATCAGGATTTAGTGATTTCTTGATCCAAATCCATTTGAAACCCTTGGGGTAACCACATCACCGTATTTGCTGAATGAAAACAGACAAGCTGTTCGGAGTTTATCTGCAAGTGATCGATTTAATTTGAACTTCAAACGTATCTAATCTAATTCATCCCAACATCTGTGTCGGGAACTTACTGCAGTTACACGAATAGCGGCTATGTTTGGAGAGAAGTTTGTGCGTCCAAAGCCAGAGCCAGGCGGAACACCAAAACCAAAAGCTTCCAGTTGTAACTTCCGAGCAGGACAAAATACACTGATGTGGTTACACTGGATTAGAGCAAAGAAATCAGCGAGCCCTGAACACAAGCTGCACTGCAAACAAAGAGCTTTGTGAGGAAAAAAAAAAAAAGCTAGAAACATCCCGCAGTGGCAAGAAAAACCATAACCTAAGTGTGTTAGTGAAATGCTACGATTGTGCTGCCAGCAAAGCCAAAAGGTTTTAAGTTTCAGTAACTGTCTGGACAGTCAGACAGGGGCGGGCTTTACCGGCTGCAGGTTGTGTGCCGTTGTTACTTGGCGTTGTCTTATTCCCAAACACAGCATCGAAATCTACAGTCATGGCCGGGGTGGTCTGCTGCAGATGCTGGCTCTCCAATCCTGAGGGATGCAGTTAGATATGATCCATTAAAAACCTTAAACTGTATTAGATAACTGTAGGACTGGGGAAGCTCTGAAATAACTCTAGATTTAAACATCAGATAGTGGTTTAGGCTGCTCCAGTTAGGATTCCAACACCTCCCACCAAACTAATCCCATTAGATTGCTAACATGGACATTACAGTCTCCTGCATGCCGCCATTGTTGTTGCTGAGTAACGTGGGATTGTGCTCAGGCTGTGGGGAATGTCGAGGCTTTCATTGGAGTATTAAGCCTGTGCAAGAGGAAATCCAGCGATACACCTTTTGTTTTTCTGTCTTCATCCACATCCCTGCTGGGGATTAGAGTTTGAAGCCTTTAGAGAGCGGCTGTCTTTGTGGAGTCCGCGAAAACAAGAATACCCGACAGGAAACACAAGAGAGCCAGAGCACCGCAACGTCTATAAATAAATATGATGAGACCGCTACAGCTAACCTTCCAGGAAACATGACAGAGACTCACTAAGGGGAATCTAGAAGTGTGGAAGATTAAAAATGACGGTTACAAAGTGTACAGTTTGACCTTTAATGTGCATTTAAAATAGCTCTTAAGCGTTTATTGTGAAATGTTCCCATATTTAAGTTTTTAATGATATCTGTCATATCTAACTGTTGTACGAAGTTTGACACCACTCTAAAAATCTGCTCGTCATATATGAAGCTCCAGCCAGCATCTGGCTAGCTTAGCTTGGCTTAGCTTAGTTTAGCTTCGCACAAACATTGGAAAAAGCTAGTCTGGCTTGAAAAAGTAATCTCAGCACTCCTTGACTTGTTTCATTTGTGATAAAACCTTGGCTAACTGGAAGCTTCAGGGTCAGGAGTTAGGGTAGCCCCTTAGGCTAACCCTAACCTTCCTTTGTTACCAGTCTTGCTGCTAAGCTAACAGATAGAGATACATCATATGAATCCTCTTATCGAGCTCTTGGTCAGGGGACAATTAAGACTATTTCCCAAATTACTCTCTAAATAAAGTAAAAATATCAGATTCAGTGATCTACCCACTGATAGTATATAGAGGGTAGATCTTTAAGCTAGCTCTGACTGTCATGCACTTATTCTCTTTAATCCTCTGCCATGTAGCCTGTAATGCTTTAAGCTAACAGTGCTAACAGAAGCCTCTTTTTGCTACTTTTTAACTCAACCAGCCGACGCTGGGCTGAAATGTCATATTTTTCAGAGTTTCGGTCGAGTGGATGCTCAACATTTCTGCTGCAAGAAGATTTTCATCCACTCTGACAAACAAGAAAACAAAGACACGGTGGGTGAACCTCTGCTGGCACCGCCTGTGACTGGAGTGTGAACACATAGGATTTGTTGTTATTACATAACGCCGCGAGGATTTACAATAAAAAAACACCTGCTTCCTTTTTTTTTGTTCTCGTTTAAATGACACACCAGCTGCTTCATGCAAGACTAGTTTTTGGAGAGAGGGGATGAAATAATGATGGGGTGGATGGATGGTTTACACAAAACACAATGAATGGGTCGGAAAATGGACCAATAGCAAAGTGGATGACAAGCTAGAGGAAAAACACATTCAGACTATTTATCTGTTTGTGCTAGGAGCTAAGAGTCCATCTTATCTGCATGTCTGCATCCCCTCTGTGGCCTTCACATATGTGTACATGCAGGTGTGTGTTTGTGCACGTGTGAGTGTGCAGGTAGCGTACCTCCCCAGGCACTGTTGGCGTTGGAGATGGAAGGATTGCTCTGCACAGCGGGGATGAAGGCCGGCTGAAGATCAAACAGGTCACTGTTCAGATTGGGCACACTAAGAGGCGAGAGAGAGAGAGAGAGAGAGGAATAAGAAGGTGAAATAAGAGATTTAAAGTAAGAGAGAGGGGTAAAGAAATAAAAACAGCGAGCCAGGAGAGGATAAACAAAGAGAGGAATGGAATTGACGGACAGAGACAGAGCTTTAATATTTAATCAATCTCTTCTGAATAGCCAAAGTCACCACTAAAAGTGTTCGATTGTCGCAGATAAAGATGAATCCCCGCTCTCTGGAGAGCTGTAAAAACTTCCACAGAGCAATAAAACAGTTAGGAGCTGTAAATTCAGAGCCAGTTACTCTGTTGTATTTCTATGTTGCAGCCAGAATACGTTTCTGTGATTGGAGGGAATTTCACTGCATCAAAAGTTCAAATAAAACACGTTTCAAGAGCAGCAGGTTGTTTTAAGTTACAGCTAATACTAATACTAATACAGGCTCATGAGTGTTTGCTCTAAGAATTCTGGGAGCTGTAGTATTTAAAAGCTCATCCTGAAGGGTTGTGAATGTTTAAGGAGTCAAAGACTTGAGCTAACATGTTTACCTGTTGGCAGACAGCGCAGAGCTGAACAGCTCTGGTGTCGGTGCGATGTGGTTGTTGTTGGCGCTGCCTATCGACTGACTGCTGGGGGAGGCGGAGGGCGGAGTATGCACGCCAATCTCCTTCAGCCGCTGGTCCTGAAAACACACACACACACACACAGAAAGTCAACATCATGCAGTCAGGAAGACATTGTCAAACAGTCACTTCCTTTTGCAAATGAACAAATAAATTAGAGCTCAGTTTCCCGTTAAGTCAAATCCTGGAAAGAGGCAAACACACATTCTCACGCACACAAAGCAAATTGAACTTGAAGGTGTCACAACGACACAAACAAACACGGAAAAATAACTCGGAGGAAACGGCGTCCAAAATGTTCAGGCCTGTAACTTTGAGTGTTTTCAGAGTCCTTCTGTCCTTTTCAACTCGCTCTCACAGCGAACATGCCCAGTGTGGAGTAACGACAGTAAGAACATGAGAAGAAAAGTTGAATTTGTGTTCTTTGGTGATATTTTGAGAGCGATTGGCTTCAGAAAAGACAGACTCAAACTCAGGCCTTCATCCAAGTTAACTCCTAAAAAAAAACACTTGATTGCTTGTTTTCCTGTGCCAGCGAGGGCCTGCTGGTGTGGGATAAAGAAAACACAATTTAATGACGGACGATTAAGTGAAAGTGTTTAAAAACTAATGATAATAGTTTCTAATGACGATTAAAAACAAACAAACTCTGCAGCTCGCTTTCTGTGGGTCTGTTAAAAATCCCCCAGCACATCTAAAGGCTCTGTCGTTAGCAGAGTCGGGATGCTGCCTTCGCTACAATGGATGAAAGTCAAGAACGAACTAAAGACATTTTCAGATATTCACTCCTGAAAACTTATCTAGATAACTTCAGGAGATTCTCTTGACCTGGTTGTTCACATATTCACCTCACAGCAGGAGACTATCCCTGTCAGACGGGAGAGGGGGCGGGGGGGTCTCCTGAGGTAAGAAGAGATGTAAAAAAAACAAAGACGTGGAAGTAGCCGAGTCCGCTATATGACGCTGTATAGAGATATAAACTTTATATCAATGCTATGTGTAGTTCAATGGAATCCCAATATCAACCAAATAGCACAGAACATACGTCACTCCCCCCTCCGATTGGCTCGAGCTGAATTCTCCGGATAATATCCTGCTGCGTTCTCACATCAGCTTACTCAGACTTGCTGCAGAAAAACACTAGAGGTCTGACAGGAGAAACTCCGGGGGAAGTCTGAGCAAAAATATTTGTTTGTTTGCGTTCACACATACAAATCCTCCTGGAAATATCAGGAGTTTTTCCAGCAGATTTCTGCAGGTGTGAAAGCTCTATTATAGTCACTTTTAGTTGATTTTCTGTGGTCGTTGTTCTTTTGTCCAAATCGTCTGTCGTTTCGTTCCACATCAAAGTCCCCAGAGTGAGTTCTCGACTGTCCTCTGGGTTCAGACAACACGATATAGGATCGATGTTTACGATTTGAAATCGGTCCTCTAAGCAGATCACATCCCTCTTAACACACCTCACACCACAGGGACATCTGGAAAGATCGGGGGAGAGGAATGGAGCTCAAGACCAACCTGTTTACTTTGTCGTGTGTACGCTGCTTAAAATAGTTAATACAAAATGAAAGGTCAGAGATGTCTCGGATGTTCGGATTGGTTGCGTTGTCGTCGTCTATGACGGTAAATGAAGCGTGGTTGGGTTTTGAAACAGTTTGAAGACATCACTTTAAGATCTGAGAAAGGCAGACGACCATTAATTACATTTTTTTTTTTTTTTACATTTAAAGGCGTGTCAGAGATGTCTCAGATGTTCGGATTGGTTGCGTTGTCGTCGTCTATGACGGTAAATGAAGCGTGGTTGGGTTTTGAAACAGTTTGAAGACATCACTTTAAGATCTGAGAAAGGCCGACGACCATTAATTACATTTTTTTTTTTTTTTACATTTAAAGGCGTGTAATCAACCAATCAATCTTAGAAAAAATGATTCAGGTTAATAAATAACAGAATGATTCATTACTTTCTGTTCAGAGGTAAGCTACCCATCTGGATAACACAGACAAACATCTGGAAGTTATTTGACCTGCTGACAGAAGATCAACACGTCTTTACTTTGAAGCTGCTCCGACACCTCCAAAAAAAATCTCTCCGACCTCCTCCACACTTTCATTTCTTGCATGAATTTAAACATTTGGCTCCAGGGTTAGTGTGATGCATGCTGGGAAATCTGACAGCCAACAGCTTCCCATTAGCCATCCTTTAAGATGATGTTATGTTCTGGCATTTTGTGAGTAATGTAAACGTGTAAATAATGCACGAGGTTAAGATTACACCTACACATGGGACAACATTAAAGATCATCAGCGTATTGATTGATTTTTATTAATATGTTCTTATGCTCATTTATATTTGATTTCCCTCTGGGTCTACTACTGTTGACCTCATATCTCCTGTGGGATCGATGCATTTGTGTCTTATGTGGGAGCATGTTCGGGGGGGGGGAAGCAATTTAGAGCAGGACAAAAAGGTGGAGATGTGGAGTATGGATTGTCGCAGTGGGAATGGAAATTGCTGCTTTTTCCTGGGAGCCTGTGGGGGTTTTTATCTACACACAGTCACTGCGGTGTTTTTGATGCAAGACGTGTTCCTGTGACGTTTATTCCCCCCCGATAGTGATCACAGTACTACACGGTCTGTAACGCTCCCTACAGAGAACTGATCCACTTTGATTAAAACACATTCTTCTTCTCACTGAAGACGATGTTTACGTCGAAGTCAGTATGGAGGTGCTATAAAGCAGTTAAAGCCCCAAAACTATGGAACAGCCTCCCTCTTCCCATCAGGTCTGCATCCTCTACTGACTCTTTTAAGTCCCTTCTAAAGACATATTTTTATATGTTAGTATTTGAGTCCTCTGGGCCTGAGTAGATGGTTCTTTCATTCTAGTTATTGCTTTCATTATCTCTCCTATTTATTCTGTCATATTTTATTTTGTGTTTTTTCGTAATATGTTGTAATCCCCTGTAAACTGTTTCTTTGATGCATTGTACAGCACTTTGGTCAGCTGCTGCTGTTTTTAAATGTGCTTTATAAATAAATGTGACTTGACTTGACTATTGTTGCTACAATTGTCAGATCAGCATTTTCCAAAAGATGCACTTACATCTACCAGGTGAAGATGAGTTTTTTGGGGTTTTAAGCAGACGCTTGCTTTTGGAAATTCAATGAATCTTGTTGTTTGTGTTCGTTGTGTTTCGTCAACAAAGCTGTCAATCATGGCATCTATTTTGCCTGGGTTCTTATGATGGTTCTTATGATGGTTCTTATGATGGTTCTTATGATGGTCGGGTTATATATGTCTGTTGCGTATCGTGCAATATGGGTTCTTTTCTGTTGAATTGTATTTCATTATTTTTAGTATTTTGCATTTGTTATGTTCTTCTGTGTTTGGTTTAGTTTGCTTTGTTCTTGTTCTTGCTGTTTGTTGAAGCACTTTGTAAACCTGTGTTTTTAAAAGGTGCTATATAAATAAAGTTATTGTTATTTAAACCATTTATACAGTAGCTCAGTCTGTAGGGATTTGGGATGGGAACAGGAGGGGTCGTTGGTTCAAGTCCTGGTGCGGAACAAGTCTGGAATATGTCTGGAGGCTAGAGAGCTGCCAGTTCACTTCCTGAGCACTGCAGAGGTGTGTGCAGACAACAGAGTGTAAAAGTCATTTCTCATCGTGTCGGAAAAAGAAGATGACTAACCGTCACGACAAAAACCAGTTTGAGAAAAAAACAGATTTCTCATTTATTTTGATTGCGTTTTTCTGAAAAAAAAAAGAAGTCCAATTGACTTCGTGGCTTAGGCGTCATCGTTTAGAGGGAGCGCTCATTGGAGCAGATAAATAAACAGAATCTCCTGCTGTAGTGGATCCTCTTCATTGGTATTCTGACAGCGTGGAGGGGAACAAACGGGAGCTGCTGTTATTGTTTGGGCTGCGGCCCCCAGCTGGACAGAAGCTGCGTGTGGAAGTGTTTCTGTTTTTTTTTTTCAATACGATGTGTGTGTGTGTGTGTGTGTGTGTGTGTGTGTGTGTGTGTGTGTGTGTGTGTGTGTAAAGTCCATATGGACAGCAGAGCACTCAGACAGCTGTAGCCGAGTATCGCTGTGACCCCTGCTCACCCCTCTCTCTCTCTCTCTCTCTCTCTCTCTCTCATGATCTCACTCGCTCTATCTTCAAAATAAAAGCCCGAGGTAATCAGTGGACCCTGGCAGGAACAGGGCGACCAAGGGCACAGAGTAAACAGGGCGCTAAAATCCAATCAACCACACAAACACACAAACACACAGAGACACACACACACACACTCAGAACCTAATCTGACAGCAAGTACACAAACTACACACAACTAAGACACTGGCAACACAAAGATACACATACTGAATCTTTTCTTCCAGGATGTAAGCATAATTTAAACACACACACACACACATACACACACACACACACTGTACAGACTCAATTACAGCTCGCTGTAAGGAAAGGACTCCCGGGGCTCCGAGCGAGAAATGTCAACACATTTTACACTTTGACTTTTCTAGCGTTGTGAGACTCCCGGCCTTTAGCGTCGACCGCAGCTCACGCTCACAACACAGAAAAAAAAAAAAAAGTTGTAGAGAAATCTATCAGCAGAACAAGTCAGATGTCTACAGGACAAAAGTTGAGCAGTATATAAGTTTTTATTTTCTTTTTATAGATTTTTTTCTACCTTTTTATCAGGCTATAGTGTTACGTAGTTGCTGCAGATTTAAAGTTTGTTGTAGATGCCGTTTCACTTTTACGGTAAGTTACCGCTTTATTGTTATGTTGTTATTGTCGTTTTTAAGACTGTTGTGGATATGATTACAGTGGGGGGATTTGTAAATCCAGTGTACCCTCCCCTTGAATAACTACGAGATGATTCAACGTTTAACCATCACAAAAATGTTCAAAGTTAACATCAGAATCTGGTTTATTTGCCTTGTATTCGACACAGACAAGAAGTTTTTTAGACTCTGATACTCAGAAGCTCTCTGTTCTTTCCCAGTGCAAACAAACACACAGAGACAATATTTACACAAAGATTGAAACTAGATAGGATAGACAGACAGATACTGGGAGAAAATGTTCTCTGTGTATTTTTGTATCTACTACTTTGGATGTGATCTGTGTGAGGAAGAATGCAAGTTTGAGAAGTTTGTTGATTGTAAAAACACAGAGTAAGTGCTGAATGAAGCTACAGCCTTAGTAGCAAAAAATTGATTGACACAAACATAGTGTTGTACTTGGTCTACAATCTGAGCTGAATCCCAAAACAGTGAAGAAGAAAGCCTGAATAAAATGAATTATTATAAAAGTTAAAAAATGTTACAGACCAGGACAAACACAATAGCGTATCCAGATATAGACATAACTTAATACCTGCTGTAAATGGGGCAAAAAAACGAAAAGAAAATGCTGTTGAAATGGGACTCTTGAAGACGCTGAGAGCTGCTTTAAACTGAGAAAAAGGTGAGAGCTGTGACTGCTCGACCTGCTGCTGCAGCTGCAGCTGCTGCTGGTGTTTCTGCTGCCACAGCACTGAGTCTTGACCCCTCGACTCAGAGGGGATTTTTGGTACAGAAGCTAAAAAAAATGGTTACCTTAAGAGCCTGCAGTCTGGCCTGCTCCTCCTCCAGGGCCTGCTGCTTCTCCTTCTCGTCCATGCGGCTGAACGACATGCCGGTGGAGGAGAGGGACGAGACAGCGCTGGACAGGGTGGACGCTCTGCAAAAAACAGGAGACAAGCTCAAAAACTTCTACTTATTCTCTTGACTTATTGAGTGGTGTTAAAAAGTTGTGTTTTTTTTTTTTTTTTTTAAAGAAAACAGGGTGGAAAATGAAGGATGTCTACCTGGTGTCTGCATTTAACTCCTTGGTCTTTTTGCCCTCCAGAGAGGCCAAATGCTGCTCCAAAGCCTCCAGAAGGCTGCTGGGGGCCTGAGGAAATCAAGACATTCAGTCAGAAACTCAACTTCTTGACTTGTGTTTTTCCACTTTCTCTCTCTCTCTCTCTCATATGCACAAAAAAAGACCCGCCCATACATATGCCAACACTCACACACAGCAGCACCCAGGAGTTAGTCAGTCTCACAGGAAGGTAACAGAGTGCATCAGGCTCCAAGAATAGCCATGGCAACATGCAGCAAACACTCGCACGGTTAGAGCTCAAAGGAGAGAGAGAGAGAACAAAGGAGGAGGCTGAGAGACAAAGAGCGAGGGGGGGGGAAAGGTGGAGAGTGGAGAAGAGGTCGCGACACTTCCTCTCCTGACTTTTGCGTGAGCAGAGGGCGATGATTTCTCTCCTGTTTAAAAATGTTCTATTTAAATCCTTTTGCTGTGTTCGAGCGTTTTTTTGTCTTTCTTATCTGACAGTGTCACTCGTCCTGTCACACCTGCACAAAAAGACGTCTCTGCTCGGGTTTAAAGCAAATCTCTGCACATTCATTCCACGAGGGGATTGAGATTACGCTCTAATCTTTTTTTTCACCTTTTCTTAATGACTAGTCCAGATAAACGTCAGAGTGTCTGAAAATGCTTCTTTTGTTGTGATTAAACTCGGGGCTGAACCGTTCCTGCAGCACACATGAAGTGAGCAGGTTTACCCGGGGATTGTTGCTAAGCTACTGCATGAAAAAACAGCTGCAGACTCCAAGTTGAGCATCCGATCGCTCGCACTGCACAAGACGGCGGACTTCAAGCGCTCGTTAAGTGCCTCATTAATGCTCCAAAAACCACAAAAAGAAGAAGCAGCTCAAACAGAGCGAGACGTCTCCATTATTAAGCAGACAATCAGAAGTTCTCCTGCGAAATTTAACAAGCAGAAAAAGAAATCTTTCTCAGCTTTTTTTTTTTTTTTTTTTGGCTGAGGAGGAGAAATCCTTCCACTGAGAAAATATATGACAACGTCATGTCTGCCTCTCTCCGTCCACAAGAATGCAAAGTGTGCTGTCAGTCGGGGCAGCAGACACGCACGCAAACACACACACACATATTAAGGAATGTTTTGGCTCCGGAGTTGTTAGCACTCGGCTAGACGGAGGCTTCTCGCCAAACTGTTGCCTGGTTGTTAAAGAAACAGACTCTGAAGAAAGAAGGAGAGATCGGCTTTAACTGTCTGAGTTGGTGAAAAGAACTGTAAGTCTGCAGAGTCAATATTTGCTCCGACACAGAAACTCAGCAGCCGGTTTTCTTATCTCTTGACCGTCCTTTTTTTGCATTCTTTAAATGTAGCTTCCTCAATCCAAGATGTTTGGAGATAAAAGCCGCCTTTCAAAGGCCGAGACAAAAACATTTTTAAAAAGAGACTAAAGTGAGAATACAAATGCCATTTGTTGACACCAATCTCTGACAATTATTAACCACCAAGCCCGCCATCTTGTGGCCAATCTCGGAACCCATTGGCTAACATATGATGACGATAAAGACTCTTAGAGCCAAGGCCCATTTTTCAAGGTTAGATTAGCAACCGAGGATTCCCAGCACAGATTTAGGGTTCGGTCGAGTTGCAGTTTGTGTGCAGCAATCCAACTCTGGCTGGGATGATGGATGTGGGGAAAAACCAATATAAGTTGCCTTTTGTTTTAAACAGGAGTGGTCGCACTACCTCAAATTTAACAACAGGAGAAGATCTCTATCTCGATGATTCTCTGCTAACTTTTTGTTTTTCATTGTTGGATTTATTCACCTGATTATTGGACTGATAAAGACTAAACATACAGGGCACCAATGGCCAAGCGGTTAGGTTGCACACGATGCATGGAGGCCATCGTCTTCAAAGTGGGTGACCCAGGTTCAAATCCAACCTGTGGCTCTTTTCTCGCATGTCATTCTCTACTTTCTTCTTTGTTTCCTTCTCTATCCTCTGTCATATCAAATAAAAAGGTATACAAGTCAAAAATACACCAAGGGTAAAATATTTCCTTTTCTGCCTTGCTGAGATTTTACATTCACGAGACTGGGACACAGATTACCAAGAATGTCCTTGGGCAGCCAAAAATTTTAATCAGTTCATCTGCGAGTCCAGGAGGACGTTTCTGCCAAAAACTCCCAAGAAACCGGCTCCAGGATTCCTCTTATGTGGCTTTCACAGTAAACGCGATGGGTAGGATGTGCGCACGGCTGGACAGAAACTCCCCAAAAGTAAAAAGAAAAAAAACCTCTGACCACGACTGATGCCCAGAAAGAGGCATGGAAACAGAAACGCACCCGCCCAGTCTCCATAACAAACAATGCAATCTTTTGACGCGAGAAGTTCATTTGTGAAATATTGCTCAACCTGAGAGAGATTCCTCTTTTTCTCCCCTCTCATTTTTGTCCGTTCTCTCTGATAATGCAGGGGTTATTCATTATCCAAGCACCTCCATGCAGGGTGGAAGCCATGATGTTGTGCATGACAAAACATGAAATAAACAACATCATAAGGAGGAGGGAGGGAATCTAAGCGAGCGATTGGAAAACCTGGTGCAGGGATTCTTTTTCTTTCTTTCATGCAAATGCAAAAACGGAGGGGTGAAGCCTCATTTTCTATTCATGAGCTTTCATGGCCTTTTGCTTGTCGTGCCAGCGTGTGTGTGTGTGTGTGTGTGTGTGTGTGTGTGTGTGTGTGTGTGTGTGTGTGTGTGTGTGTGTGCAGATTTGTGTGCGAGAGAGCTACAAGCAAGCCACCTGAGGCCGACACACTCATATTGAACTCAGTCAACACCCCGTCGCTCCACAAGGGGAAAGGGAAAAAACACAAGAGCATGCCTCTGAGTGTATGAGGTGTTGGTGTGTGTGTTGAACACACACGTATACATCATACAGTCACGCGTGCTGTATATGATATTCATGCAGCGGGGGTTTGGGGGGGGTAAGCAGTACAGTATGCAACCCACCACCTACAAGGTAAGATCCTTTTGTTTTCTGCGACAGACGAGGGAGAAGAGAAAAAGGTCTATTTAACGACCACACTCAGTTTTACTACGAGTTTAACACCCACACAGTCCATCCACACGCCGTTAACTTCCCGCCCTACGCTCGGTAAGGATTTTTTTAGAAATGCATGAGCACAAGCCATCCAGGCTGGGAAAAAAATGTTACAGTTGTGTCCATGTGTGGGAGATCCTTCCACAGATTTCTTGAAGCAGAAAAGCACCAAAGGGGCAACTTTCAATATCACAACGTGCACAAAGTGCTGAAAGTTTACTGAGCTGAGGATACTGTTACACTCCCTCCCACCCACTACACTCCACCGATGAAAGGCGTCTGATCCAACCTTCACAACAGGGTCCTAAGACGCTGACTAGACTCTTCTCCTCTGTCGCCCCCCGGTGGTGGAATGAACTTCCAAACCCCATTGGATCTGCAGAGTCCCTCTGCACCTTTAAGAAAAAGCTAAAGACCCAGCTCTTTCATGAATACCTACTAACTTAATGATGATGGTCTCCATATTATTGATGATGATGATGGTTGTGACGATGGTTTTTGTTTGATAACGACGACTTATAAGATGGTTTCTATACTGATTAGAGCTCTCAAGAACTGCCCTCAATGTTGTGCTTTGCCTCTGGTCACTTCCTGTCAGCACCTGTGTGTCCAATCAGACTCAGAGCTGATCGTTTGCTCTTACTGACATTGTTCCCTTTTTTCTAGATCCTTGCTTGTGTTGTTCTTACTCTCTGATGTACGTCGCTTTGGATAAAAGCATCTGCTAAATGAATTGTAGAATTATACTATCAGGGTTTGAAACTCTTCAACTTGCTGAGTCCCAGTTTAAGGGCTGAATCCTTTCGAGGGTGCATTCGAAGACCAGTTGTGACACAGCGTTGCGTCGCAGGCTGTCCATTTTCACAAATGCGTCTGACTTTCCCCGGGCCTCGTAGGATCCATCCGATGAACCCCTTGGTCGCCCAACATTTCCCAAGATTTACTGCGCACCAATTCAAACAAGATTGTGACTTTCAAGCGGCCGACGATTAAACTTTCATATGTAAGTCATTGTTTCCATCTCAGTCGGATAGCTAACGATGCTAATGTTGCTAATGTTAAACTAAAGGGACCTTCAAACTACCTTTAAAATAAAAGTACAAGTTACATGATGTCAGTTTTTATTGCAGCTGTCAAGGTTGCTAGGCAACAGGGGCAATGCTTAGACACCAATGGGTAACAGCGTGAACAGCTGGTGGCACAAACATGAAATCCTCTGTAGACTGGACCATTTCAGTCCTGACTGAGCGGACTAAGAAGACGACGAAGACTGGGTCCTGTTGAAGGACTTTTTTTTTTTTTAAAAAGAAGCAAAATTATGTAATTCCAAAAATGTGATTAAAAATGTGATTAATCGCGATTAAATCGGGTTTAAAAATATATCCTTAGAAAACCCTAATGAAAAATCTATGAAATAATAGTAGATAGTATCACAGTTTTAAAGACTGAAAGGAGGATAAAAAAAGGATTTACAAATAAGAACTGTATCCATGTGTGGTGGTCTAACCAGGATTGTCTACAGCCTCTCTTCTTTCCTCTCATAAACCATTAGGAGGAGGATGAACACAAGCTGGAAGCGATTCCTCTGAATTTGAAATGAGAGACAAAGGCAGCTTTATCCTTGACGATTAAGAACAGAAATCTTGGAGTCTATTCCCTCTTGTTTTTAAAGCCCTTTGTTGTAGTAATTATGTTTATTCTGGGGGAGATACAAGGTCTAAAACTCACTGTTTGTGAAGGTTTTTTTTTTTTTAAATCCATGTGATGTCTAAACAGGCCAAATAAACACACCTCCGCCTGTGGTCGGAACTGTAAGCAGCATTGAGACGTGAGAGAGGAAGCAGGAAATCAATTGAAGTTTGAGGAGCGCTGCATCGACTCAGGTGAGACGAGATGGTCGAGTGGAATAAATGTGAGTGGGTGGAGAGAGAGAGAGAGAGGAGAAGAGAGGATGAGTTGAAGAGGAGGAACACAGGTAAATGGAGGGGTGAAGTGTGGTGTAAGTGGATGAAACCACATGGAGGGAGGAGAGGAAGCGAGAGGAAAAAAGGTGAGGCGTAAGAAAGGGAAGCGGGAAAAATGAGTTAGAAGAAGAAGAAGAAGAAGAAGAAGAAGAAGTGGAAGGTGAGATGTACACTGACCTGTGAGAGATCTGGGATGTCACCCTGATCTATTCCAACTTGCTGTCGTCAAAAACAAAACAAAAAAAAATTGGAAGGCAGGAAGGTGGGATAAAATGGAGAGGGGGGGAAATAAAAATTAAAAAAAGCAGAAGGAGGGGAGGATCCGTTTGAAAAAAAAAAAAAAGATGAGAAAAAGAAAACAAAACAGGGGATCATTACTCCATGCAGTGGCAGTGTCGACATAAAACGACAACAGAAATAAACAAGGAAAAGTTTTTTTCGACATGTAGGATTGGCTCATGAAGCCGCCAATCCTGACAAAGTGATTGGACGGTGATAAATGTGTCTGACCAATGAGAGAGCGGGGGCATGGACGGACTGATGGATAATGAACACGTGAACACATTTATAAAGAGGACAGCTATGCCCAAGTTTTTTCTCAAAAACAACGCGAGACACTTGTTGACTTTCAGGACACAGATATAGAACATGAAGTCCTGGACACTGCAGTAATGAACACGGCCCTTAAAAAGGTTTACTTCTGCAGAAGAAGAAGAATTAGAGTTGCTGAAAGTGGGCTCGTTAAAGGTTCCCTTCTGGATATTTCATTCTTGTTTATTTATCCTGTGTTTTTATCTTATTTTAATGATAGGCAAATAAAAACACGCTCAACTCCCTTTCAAAATAAAACAACTGGGTGCTGAATCCCCAACAAATATTTGAACAAGAGAAACGGATAAGGACAGCGCTCCAAATTTATGTATTTATTATAAGTGTGGCAATTAAATACACAAATTTGGAGTGCTGTCCTTATCCGTTTTTCTTGTTGTATTTTAAGACAGCTCGTTCTAAATGAAAGTATGTTTATGTTACGCTCAGAGTATTCTCAGTCTGTGGAGGTTTGACAGTGAACCAGAATCTGGTAGGGCAGATCAGTGTTGGGGGGGGGGTGTAGAGTCACATGTAGCAGACCTTCTTACCTTTTTCTGCTGTGTAACACAAACTCTACAGGTTAGATTGTCAACATAATACATCAACATAACACAGAACCGTTCCCTTCAAGATGAGCCCCCCTCCCCCCCCTCCCCCCTTTGTCTCAGAAAAAAAATGAGTATCAGAACATTTCATACTTGTTGTGTATGTTTCATGTCATGTACGTCTTTGTAACCTGCTACTGGATGCTTTGAATTTCCCTCGGGATCAATAAAGTATCTATCTTCTATCTTGTATGAGCATGTGACAAATAAAAATCTTCAATCTTGTTTTTAAGTTTTGCAGCATTTTTTTTTTCTTATAGAATTTGATGACAAACTGGGAGAATGATGTTTTAAATGTCTAATTTTGGTTTGGACGGCTCGGGTCTTATAGCTCTGTTCAAAAAGGATTAAATTTTTTTTTGTTTTGCTCCTCATAACGGCTTTCATACGGATTGGTTCCAAGATAGAGTCCGGTATTGGTCCATTGGAAGGCCGAGACTCCTTCCCTCTTTATGTCCTTGTACCATAAGAGTGCTTTCAGCGAGGGGGGGGGGGGGTTCTTTAAATATTGATGTCCCCTGAAACTCCGACGGCCTGACCACGGTTATTCTCGGCAGAAGAAAGCTGAACGATGTCTGATGATCAGATTTTAAATAACCCTTCACATGTTTGAGATGCGCGTCTTAAACCGCATTTTAAAAGACAAAGGGGCGCTTTTATTTTGAAAGGCACATGAAGGCAAAGAAGATAAAGAACTACAGTCGCTGATTCTCAATGTTTCAACCCTGCAGGAAAATAAACCCGGGGAATGAGGGAAGAGGGCGCGAGAGGAGAGCAAAAAAAGAAAGAGGGATGATCTGTGGGCACGGGGCGAGGGAGAGCCACGCGAGTATCCATCTTTGTCAGGAGGAGAGCGAGGAGAGCGAGGAGAGCGAGGAGAACGGGGAGGAGGAAGGATTAGATGGAGGAGTGTGGGGAGCAGAGGGAGAGAGACTTAACGGAGCGCCTAACCACATCCTCCATCTTAAGGGTTACTTTGGGTGTGTGTGTACGGTTTCTGTGTGTGTGTGTGTGTGTGTGTGTGTGTGTGTGTGTGTGTGTGTGTGTAGAGAGAAATGTGGGGCAGTGAGGGGAAGTCGGTTTTCTCATATGCAGACGGTACAAGTCGCTGTGTGAGCAAACTTAGTGAAGGATCTGGTCTTTTAGTCGAGAATGAAGAATATGAAGATCCTTCATTCATCTAATTTCTGTCTTGTGTTAACTTTTTTTCCCTTCTATGTATAGGTGTGTGTGTGTGTGTGTGTGTGTGTGTGTGTGTGTGTGTGTGTGTGTGTGTGTGTGTGTGTACCTCGGCCACTTTGAGGAACTCCGACAGCTTGGTCATCCTGTAAAGAAATTTCTTATAGATGTCCAGCGCGTCTTTGCACTGGTTCTTCTTCATGTCAAAGTATTTCTCTACGGAGACACAGAAGGGAGGATGAGAGGATTAAAAGAGGAAACACAGGAAGAGGAAGACCAGAAGGAAAGGAAGGAAGGAAGTGAAGGAAGGAAGGAGAGGAGGCAGGATCCATCAGTGCATGATTGAGCTGAGACAAACAGAAGCACTTAGCAGCTACATGACAGCCTGTCAAAACCCTCTCTGCTGCCGTGACAACCAGACTGTGAGCACATATGCTTGTGTGTGTTCCTGTTTACATCTCTCTCAGGACTG